GATGCGTGGGCAGTGTGAGCTGGGTGGCAAGCAGCAACAGTGTTCTGTCACCGATGCCAAGTCACTTTACGATTGCCTTTTACGTGAACACCCGACGGGGAAGCAAGATCGCAAGTCAGCCTTGGAGCTTGCGATTGTTTTACGAGACCTTCAAGAAACAAAGTCCATGGTCAAATGGGTTCCTCATCAGAAGATGATTGTGGACTGCCTCACCAAGGAGGACCCGATGCGAGCCAATGACGCCTTGAATCACTTCATTCGAACTGGACTGCTCAGTTTGGTCGATGTAGCACATGAACTTGAAGCGAGGAAGACTGATCCTGCATTTAGGCGTCGTAGCAATCATGCCAGCCGCGAAAGGCTGCTTGAGGAATATCAGCAGAATTTTGTACAGTGGATAGAATCTTTGGTCAACTACTGTTGGGGGGACTGTGAAGATCAGCCATTGTCATACATGATTTCACTTGACCAAAGTATTCCATCCTGACTTTGCACTTTCGCCACGTGACGTGGCTCAAGTGGGATGCGTTCTGTGCCATCCAAAATAGCAGCCGATGCCGCTCGTTTTGCACTTAGACTCCGTCACTATATCTATCTATATCTATCTATATCTATCTATATCTATCTATATCTATCTATATCTATCTATATCTATCTATATCTATCTATATCTATCTATATCTATCTACATCTATCTATATCTATCTATATCTATCTATATCTATCTGTATCTATCTATATCTATCTATATCTATCTATATCTATCTATATCTATCTATATCTATCTATATCTATCTATATCTATCTATATCTATCTAAATCTATCTAAATCTATCTAAATCTATCTAAATCTATCTATATCTATCTATATCTATCTATATCTATCTATATCTATCTATATCTATCTATATCTATCTATATCTATCTATATCTATCTATATCTGTCTATATCTGTCTATATCTATCTATATCTATCTATATCTATCTATATCTATCTATATCTATCTATATCTATCTATATCTATCTATATCTATCTATATCTATCTATATCTATCTATATCTATCTATATCTATCTATATCTATCTATATCTATCTACTTCTATCTACTCTATCTATATCTATCTATATCTATCTATATCTATCTATATCTATCTATATCTATCTATATCTATCTATATCTATCTATATCTATCTATATCTATCTACTTCTATCTATATCTATCTATATCTATCTATATCTATCTATATCTATCTATCTATCTATATCTATCTATATCTATCTATATCTATCTATATCTATCTATATCTATCTATATCTATCTATATCTATCTATATCTATCTATATCTATCTATATCTATCTATATCTATCTATATCTATCTATATCTATCTATATCTATCTATATCTATATCTATCTATATCTATCTATATCTATCTATATCTATCTATATCTATCTATATCTATCTATATCTATCTATATCTATCTATATCTATCTATATCTATCTATATCTATCTATATCTATCTATATCTGTCTATATCTGTCTATATCTGTCTATATCTGTCTATATCTATCTATATCTATCTATATCTGTCTATATCTATCTAAATCTATCTATACCTATCTATACCTATCAATATCTATCTATATCTATCTATATCTATCTATATCTATCTACTTCTATCTACTTCTATCTATATCTATCTATATCTATCTCTATCTATCTCTATCTATCTCTATCTCTATCTCTATCTCTATCTCTATCTCTATCTCTATCTCTATCTCTATCTATCTCTATCTCTATCTCTATCTCATCTAATCTAATCTAATCCTATCCTATCCTATCCTATCTTATCCTATCCTATCTATCTCTCTGCCTGTCTGTCTGTCTGTCTACCTGTATGTGTGTCTATCTGTCTATCTGTTTATCTATCTATCTACCTATCTATCTATCTATCTGTCTATCTGCAAGCTTGACAACGAAGCTATTCTCTCTGTGAGACTTGCTTGAAATTTGGAAGTTGAAAGCTGAAAAATGAAGAGTTTTTGGAGACTTCCTTCAGTGTTGGATTGGAAGTTGGCAACATCAAAAATGCAACATGTCTGCGAGACTTCCTCAATTTTCGAAGTTGACAGCATCAAAAAGGAAGCAATTCTGCGAAACTTCCTTCCAAAATGGGAAGTTGAGCGCAGAGCTGACGGCCTCGAGCCAATGCGTTTTGTGATTTTTCCACTCCATCTGTGTAAAGTGCTGCGCCTGGCCCCGTCAAAATCATCTTAGCATATTGGCAAACCTGAAGATCTGATGCTCCTCCAAATTGCAACCCCTCCCAGGAAATCAGCGCCCTGACCTCCCAACATCTTTGATGAAGATGTCTCTTGTACTGCGCCTGCCACGCGGCATGCATCTTTGCAGATCCTCTTCAAATCCCCCACGCCTCCCACTGTCTTTGAAATTACCATAAAACCCCCACGTTTTGCTGACCTTTGGCCAGGTGCAGAATCCCTAGCGCCTGCCACACAAAATTGCGATTGAACGTCCGAAAGTGGTCCGAACATGCGGTGTGAGAAGCATTTTCACTTCAAAATGTGCTTCGCGCCACAACTTCGTGCACTTTTGAACGTCTGAACTGGCAAAAGTGCTCCGAACCGGAGGCGTTTTCAACATTTTGCTTTCGAAACGTGCTTCGCGCTAACAATGCCGTGCGCCTTTTCAACGTCTCAACTTCCAAAAGTGCTCCGAACCCGCAGTGCTTTGCACATTTTGACATCGAAACATGCTTTGCGCCACAGCGCGTGCATTTTTGGAACATCTCAACGTCCAAGAGTGTCCCAACGTGTTTTGCGCATTTTGACTTGCACATGTGCTTCGCGCCGCAGCGGCATGCAAATTCTCATCTCTCATCTCCCCATGGCCCCGCACTCGCTGCTCAGCGAGCCTACTTTTCGACCCTCCGGAGCCAAAAAGACATTGGAGAAAAAAATGCTATGTGTTGCGACTTTTCTACTTTTTCGTGCGCCTGCATCTTTTCCCGGATGCGTAGCAAGGGTTCCCGTTTCACTCTGGGGGTCTGGGGGTTGAGGGTGTGTTCGCTCGACGTTGCGTTTACGCCCGCAACCGTCTGCAACCGTCCGCAACCGTTCGCGGGCGACCGTGTGAAAGCCATATGGCCGTGCCTATGGTAAGTTTTGCAAACGGGTCACTTTTGGAGGTAGCCAGCATGGCGTAGCTTCCTTTCGCATGGCAGGGGTGGCACTTTGTGACATTCCAACATGTTTCGTAACGCGCCGAAAGTCGTTTTGTGTGGCAGGCGCAATACTTCTGCGACGTTTGGAGTGTACAGTGTAAAGTGTGGAGTGTATAGTGTAAAGTGTGGAGTGTAGAGTGTGGAGTCTAAAGTATAGAGTGTAAAGTGTGGAGTGTGGAGTGTGGAGTGTAAAGTGTAGAGTGAAGTGTGGGGTGTACAGTGTGTGAGTGTGGAATGTAGAGTGTGGAGTGTAGTGTGTGGAATGTGGAGTGTAGAGTGTGGAGTGTAAAGTGTGGAGTGTAAAGTGCAAAGTGTGGAGTGCGGAGTGTAAAGTGTAGAGTGTAGAGTGAGGAGTGTAGAGTGTAGTGTGGAGTGTAAAGTGTGGAGTGCGGAGTGTGGAGTGTAAAGTGCGGAGTGTGGAGTGTAAAGTGTGGAGTGTAAAGTGTGGAGTTTTGCCTGTCACACAAAACGACTCTCGACACGCTTGCAGACACGCGACAATGTCAGGAACAGTGCCAAGCGTGCTACGCAAAAAGACATTACAACCTGCTTTGAAACCTTCGAAGATGTGTTGCAGCTTCCCTCATAGACACGGCAAGGCCAGAGGCAAACCAGAGACTCGAGACGAGACACGTTGGAGCATCAAAACGAGCATTTCGTGCGAGGCTTCCTCCAATTTTCAGATTGTGTAGCTTGAAAATCGACGTTTTCCTGTGAGTTTTCCTAACGAACCCGAAATTCATCTACCTCAAATGTGATGTTTCGTGCGAGGCTTCCTCCAATTTTCACACTGTGTAGCTTCAAAATCGACTTTTTCCCGCGAGTTTCCTGACGGACCCGACACTCAGCTACCTCAAAAGCGAAGTTTTCGTGCGAGGTTTCCGTCAATTGTCAGCACATCCACGCAATTTGCACCTTGTCGCCACTTGACTGACGCAGCCCTGACAAAGCGATTCGCAAAAACATGCAACATGACACGTCTAAAGTGCTGCACCTGCCACACGAAATGACGATGGAGGTCGCCAAAGCGCTGCGCTTGCCACGAAAAATGCAACGCATCATTTGAAAACCGCGACACTTTAACTCTACACTTTACACTCCAGACTCTACACTCCACACTTCACACTCCACACTCCACACTCTACACTTATATAACACTCCACACTTTACGCTTTACACTCTACACTCCACACTTTACACTCCAACTTTACACTCCACACTTTGCACTTTACATTCCACACTCCACGCTTCACGCTTTACACTCCGCGCTCTACACTGTACACTCCACACTCTACACTTTACACTCCGCCCACCACACTTTGCACTCCGCCCTTTTCCGCATTCCACAGTCTAGAGTGCACTGGTACGGTAACAGGGGAAACATGTACAAGACTGTTCAATTAACTTGTTTCGCAAAAGTGTTCTACGTGACTGCATTCGGGTTCGTGGGCTGCATCTTATTTTCTTCTGAGTCTTTCTAATCTCTGATCTTCTGACTCTTCTTCCTTTCTCTTCTCTGACTCTTCCCACCTCTGCCTTTCCATTTGTCCATCGCCTCATCAACCCCGGCGGTTCTGCCACCAGACCTGGAAGCGATTTTCCTGTTGTGGCTCCCCCATGCCAATCTTGCTCTGGATATGTACAAACACACACACACACATATATATATAGCGGTGTATCCTTATATATCTTTTGTTGCGTCTATCTCCTATCTCTCGCTGACATCCAGAACTGTGTGGTTCTTTGAGGCATCACAAAATGCTGGGGGCCAAAGTCATCAAGGTGAGGAAAGTGGTAGCGGCGAAACGCTTGAGATGTAGCTGAAGTTTGAAGCACTTGATGAAGATTTGCATATGACATGCATACCGGGTTCGAGCCCGGTATGTTTTCAAATTCCATTCAAACTGTGGGATTTTCGTTGATATTCAAAGCACAAGATCTGGTAGCGTGGTGTCACACATGTTAGACACCGAGACAAGCAACAACACTGCCAAAACATGCAACACGGGTTGATGCATTCCATGGGGGAGTGTCACTCTGTATCCAGTAACAAACTCCGACTGCCTCAGTCCAGTTTATCCTCATTCCATGGAAGGTGTGCAAAGTCATACCGAAAGTCTTCAGCAAAAACAATCGCAAGACTTTTCTCGGCAAGCGCAGCAGCAGAATCAGCTGCAATCGCGGCAAAGTAACCAGCAAGCTGCTGCTCAGCAAAAGCAGAGTCACCAGCAAGCTGCAGCTCAGCAAGCGCAGCAGCAGAGCCACTGGCAAGCGCAGCAAAGCCAGTTGCAAGCACAGCAAAGTGACCAGCAAGCTGCAGCGCAGCAAGCGCACCAGCAGAGCCACTGGCAAGCGCAGCAAAGTCAGTTGCAAGCGCAGCAGAGCCACTGGCAAGCACAGCAAAGCCAGTTGCAAGCGAAGCAAAGTGACCAGCAAGCTGCAATTCGGCAAGCGCAGCAGCAGAGCCATTGGCAAGCGCAGCAAAGTCAGTTGCCAGCGCAGCAAAGTGACCAGCAAGCTGCAGCTCAGCAAGTGCAGCAGCAGGGTCAGTGTCAAGCGCAGCAAAGTGACCAGCAAGCTGCAGCTCAGCAAGCGCAGCAGCAGAGCCACTGGCAAGCGCAGCAAAGTCAGTTGCAAGCGCAGCAGAGCCACTGGCAAGCACAGCAAAGCCAGTTGCAAGCGCAGCAAAGTGACCAACAAGCTGCAGCTCAGCAAGCACAGCAGAGCCACTGGCAAGCGCAGCAAAGCCAGTTGCAAGCGCAGCAGAGCCACTGGCAAGCACAGCAAAGCCAGTTGCAAGCGCAGCAAAGTGACCAACAAGCTGCAGCTCAGCAAGCACAGCAGAGCCACTGGCAAGCGCAGCAAAGCCAGTTGCAAGCGCAGCAGGGTCACCAGCAAGCTGCGCAGCAAGTGCAGCAGCAGAGTCAGTTGCAAGGGCAGCAGAATGACCAGCAAGCTGCAGCTCAGCAAGCGCAGCAGAGCCACTGGCAAGCGCAGCAAAGTCATCTGCAAGCGCAGCAGGGTCACCAGCAAGCTGCGCAGCAAGCGCAGCAGCAGAGTCAGTTGCAAGTGCAGCAGAATGACCAGCAAGCTGCAGCTCAGCAAGGGCAGCAGAGCCACGAGCATGAGCAAAATCATGTGGAGCAGCAGAGGCTTGTCTAATCAGTTGGGCCTACTGAATGATTGATTCATGATGCCTTGATGGATTTTTCGCCTTGTCTTTTTCCAATTTGGCAGGGGGGAGGTCGCAATTTTCTGTAATAAAGCTAAGGCGCTCCACGATTGGAAGCTCATGCCTATTTAGGTTTATCCGAAAACTGGGTGAACCTCCAATTGATCCAATGGTAATCTCTATGGGGAAAAATATGGAAAACCACAAGAAGACCGATAAGCTAGGAGGGCACCATATTTTTGGTCCACCCCGTTTTTCTGCTTGACGTGGCAATGCCAACCAAAGATTTAAAAAGCGCACATCAAACCCATATGCTGATGCTTCCAAACCTTTCAGATTCCAGCATGCATTTTGTGGTATTCCATGCTACTCTAAAAGAATTTCACAATCGTAGTGCAGCAAGTTCAGATAGTTTAGGGTCAACGACCTGCCTCGTTTGTCATGGCTGCATCGCGTGCGTGTGACACTGTGTTCGCGCTGCATATTCCACCAGTATTTTTATCCTAATCGTGAAAGCTCGCTTGCTAGCTGGAGTTGGATTTGCCTTAGCAATGAATTGGGGGCAGACTGGACGCAGCTGCCATGATTTTTCATGTCGAACTTGTTTTGGGCCCCCCTGTTCGGCATGATTAATCATGCCGAACTGTGACCCCCCCCTTCGGGCTCAAACCCCGCTGCGTCCATCCCGCTGGGTTTCATCTTCATCCGTGACCGCGCGTTTGCATGCCCACGCACGTGCATAGAATACAAGATGATATTCAGCGTGAGTGTTGCGAATGTAATGCAATGTAATGCGCTCTAATCCAATCTCATCTAACCTAATGTAATGCAGTCTGATCTAATGTCATGCAATCTAACCTAACCTAATGTAACCTAATGTAATGGAATCTAATCTAATGCACCGTAACCTATTGTAATGTAACCTATTCCAATCGAATGTAACTCAACGAAATGTATAGAATGTAATGTAATGTAACGTAATGTAAAGTAATGAGAGAACAACCGCTTGGAGTCTTGCAGTCCATTTCCCCAAGAGGTCTGCATGAAAACATGACCCGGTCTTGGCGAGGAACGGAAGATGCGCATTTTAAGATTCCCAAACGTTTCTTGCTCGATGGATGTATGCATCTAGGTTACCAGATTCTAAGACTGGGGTATTTGTATGATGGATATATAGATTTACAGATAGATTTTTAGATGTATGCAGTATAGACATGTTCAATCAGATGGTTGCAAAGTGGCTCAGCCGAAGTGCGTTCGGTTGGGGCGCTTTGTATTTAAGAGCTTAATGTTGACGCTGGTATCCTAGGATGTCATGGGGAGGGTTGTGAAATGATTATGGTGCATGCGAGCTAGAGTATCATGATACGCTTCTGTCAGCGTGTCAGCAACATGGGCTGGTAGTTTCTTTCAACTCAAAAACTGACACTCAAAAGGTCGCGCCACACATCCTCTCAATACATATCTCTCTTTGCCCAACTAGCTTTCGTCCCCTTCCGTTTGGCCTCAAATATGATCTAAGCCGCATTAGACACACTAAACAGGAACACATATGGCCTTGTGCAGCCCTGAAACTTGGATGCCAAGGAACGGATGGAACCAACTACCAACGGGTTGGGTGGCATACTCCACAGCAGAAGGGCATGTCTTCTACTACAACCAGAGCCGCTTGAATGATCTGCATTGTAGAGGTTCTGGAGGACGTATACACTACACATAATAATAACAAACATCAATAGCAATGATAATGACAACAATAATAATAACAAAAAAACAATACTATGAATAAGACTAATAATGATAGTATATGATGTTTTTTTTATATAATATATTTATATATATAAATATATATGATTGCATTTTCGCTATTTGCCGGGGCCTGCGATTGCTAAGGCACAGGCCAATCTCAGTGGGAGCGACCCGGGTGACGTGCTGAAAAAGAGCGCAGGTGTAACAAGGGTTTGAAACTCCTCGACTTCTTGTGATTTTCAGTTTGCAACAGCTTGATCGGAATCAGGATAATCAATGATAATCAATGGTAATCATGATTCATGTCGATGGTTCAAGCCGAGTTTAGCTCTGAATTACTGCGAATCTTTCTGTTGTGTTTTCAATCCAGCCATGCGAGCCGTCTTGTTTCTGCTCTTCCTGAGTTTGGCAGATGCTGCCCGTGCGGGGCCACAGATGGAGGCAAAGCTGAAACCCGACCCAAGCGACAGCATGTCAGACGAAGTGATCCAAAGGACAGATGCCTTCGAAGCCATTGGAGAGTCGGACACTGATGAGACAGAAAAAGATATGAAAGATGAGACGGATGAGAAAGATGAGATTCCTGCCAAATTTTTGGAAGATCTGAAGCATAGACCATGCTGCACTTGTTCACTGAACTGGGGCTCTGTAGTTCCGAAGACGGTGAAATTCTTCTTCAAGTTCCACAAGACATGTGATCGCGTCGGAGGCTCTCCTACTTGGTCTGAGCGCGACGGGCTTACCTTCTGTGGCCCCAACTGCGATGCTGACAGGGAGGGTAAAGTCTGCTGGAAGCGCGAATACGTCAAGGGGGGCACCAGAAAACTTCATAAAGACACCCAGGACGGAAGGGCACGGAAGGGCTCCTTTTGCGCTTTCGTATCTTTCGGTGGTTCTGTATGGTCTTGTAACTCTTGTATGTCCTTGTGTCGTAGACTCTCGTAGACTCTCGTAGACTCTCGTAGACTCTCGTAGACTCTCGTAGACTCTCGTAGACTCTCGTAGACTCTCATAGACTCTGCAGACTTTCTGACAACTTGACAACTTGCCAACTTGCCGCTAGGTGACTTCGATTTCCACATTCGAGTCAGAACGAGTCAGAACGAGTCATATATTGTCACATATTGTTCAGTTGTGTTGAGAGCCGTAGAAGGCCATGGCAGGCCATTAACCAAGCAAGCAAGCTCTCAAAGTTGCCCTGAGGACAATTGTGGTAAATACGACCCAGATGATGTTGCCTGAAGCGACCAATGACCAGTTTGAATTGGAGACTCTGAAGACTGTGGTGAAAAAGTGCTGTGCGCCGCGTGAAAGTGTTGGTTGTGCAGGAAATTCCAAGACGCAAAGGATGCAAATGGTTTGATGTTGTATGTTTTGATGTTCCTTCCAGAGTGCTTTCTGTATACAGAATTGGTCAGAAGACAGAAGCGATGCCTTGAGGACAGGGGCAACAAGGGTTTGAAACTCCTCGACTTCTTGTGATTTTCAGTTTGCAACAGCTTGATCGGAATCAGGATAATCAATGATAATCAATGGTAATCATGATTCATGTCGATGGTTCAAGCCGAGTTTAGCTCTGAATTACTGCGAATCTTTCTGTTGTGTTTTCAATCCAGCCATGCGAGCCGTCTTGTTTCTGCTCTTCCTGAGTTTGGCAGATGCTGCCCGTGCGGGGCCACAGATGGAGGCAAAGCTGAAGCCCGACCCAAGCGACAGCATGTCAGACGAAGTGATCCAAAGGACAGATGCCTTCGAAGCCATTGGAGAGTCGGACACTGATGAGACAGAAAAAGATATGAAAGATGAGACGGATGAGAAAGATGAGATTCCTGCCAAATTTTTGGAAGATCTGAAGCATAGACCATGCTGCACTTGTTCACTGAACTGGGGCTCTGTAGTTCCGAAGACGGTGAAATTCTTCTTCAAGTTCCACAAGACATGTGATCGCGTCGGAGGCTCTCCTACTTGGTCTGAGCGCGACGGGCTTACCTTCTGTGGCCCCAACTGCGATGCTGACAGGGAGGGTAAAGTCTGCTGGAAGCGCGAATACGTCAAGGGGGGCACCAGAAAACTTCATAAAGACACCCAGGACGGAAGGGCACGGAAGGGCTCCTTTTGCGCTTTCGTATCTTTCGTTGGTTCTGTATGGTCTTGTAACTCTTGTATGTCCTTGTGTCGTAGACTCTCGTAGACTCTCGTAGACTCTCGTAGACTCTCGTAGACTCTGCAGACTTTCTGACAACTTGACAACTTGCCAACTTGCCGCTAGGTGACTTCGATTTCCACATTCGAGTCAGAACGAGTCAGAACGAGTCATATATTGTCACATATTGTTCAGTTGTGTTGAGAGCCGTAGAAGGCCATGGCAGGCCATTAACCAAGCAAGCAAGCTCTCAAAGTTGCCCTGAGGACAATTGTGGTAAATACGACCCAGATGATGTTGCCTGAAGCGACCAATGACCAGTTTGAATTGGAGACTCTGAAGATTGTGGCGAAAAACTACTGTGCGCCGCGTGAAAGTGTTGGTTGTGCAGGAAATTGCAAGACGCAAAGGATGCAAATGGTTTGATGTTGTATGTTTTGATGTTCCTTCCAGAGTGCTTTCTGTATACAGAATTGGTCAGAAGACAGAAGCCTTGAGGACAGGTGTAACAAGGGTTTGAAACTCCTCGACTTCTTGTGATTTTCAGTTTGCAACAGCTTGATCGGAATCAGGATAATCAATGATAATCAATGGTAATCATGATTCATGTCGATGGTTCAAGCCGAGTTTAGCTCTGAATTTCTGCGAATCTTTCTGTTGTGTTTTCAATCCAGCCATGCGAGCCGTCTTGTTTCTGCTCTTCCTGAGTTTGGCAGATGCTGCCCGTGCGGGGCCACAGATGGAGGCAAAGCTGAAGCCCGACCCAAGCGACAGCATGTCAGACGAAGTGATCCAAAGGACAGATGCCTTCGAAGCCATTGGAGAGTCGGACACTGATGAGACAGAAAAAGATATGAAAGATGAGACGGATGAGAAAGATGAGATTCCTGCCAAATTTTTGGAAGATCTGAAGCATAGACCATGCTGCACTTGTTCACTGAACTGGGGCTCTGTAGTTCCGAAGACGGTGAAATTCTTCTTCAAGTTCCACAAGACATGTGATCGCGTCGGAGGCTCTCCTACTTGGTCTGAGCGCGACGGGCTTACCTTCTGTGGCCCCAACTGCGATGCTGACAGGGAGGGTAAAGTCTGCTGGAAGCGCGAATACGTCAAGGGGGGCACCAGAAAACTTCATAAAGACACCCAGGACGGAAGGGCACGGAAGGGCTCCTTTTGCGCTTTCGTATCTTTCGTTGGTTCTGTATGGTCTTGTAACTCTTGTATGTCCTTGTGTCGTAGACTCTCGTAGACTCTCGTAGACTCTCGTAGACTCTCGTAGACTCTGACAGACTTTCTGACAACTTGACAACTTGCCAACTTGCCGCTAGGTGACTTCGATTTCCACATTCGAGTCAGAACGAGTCAGAACGAGTCATATATTGTCACATATTGTTCAGTTGTGTTGAGAGCCGTAGAAGGCCATGGCAGGCCATTAACCAAGCAAGCAAGCTCTCAAAGTTGCCCTGAGGACAATTGTGGTAAATACGACCCAGATGATGTTGCCTGAAGCGACCAATGACCAGTTTGAATTGGAGACTCTGAAGACTGTGGTGAAGAAGTGCTGTGCGCCGCGTGAAAGTGTTGGTTGTGCAGGAAATTCCAAGACGCAAAGGATGCAAATGGTTTGATGTTGTATGTTTTGATGTTCCTTCCAGAGTGCTTTCTGTATACAGAATTGGTCAGAAGACAGAAGCGATGCCTTGAGGACAGGGGCAACAAGGGTTTGAAACTCCTCGACTTCTTGTGATTTTCAGTTTGCAACAGCTTGATTGGAATCAGGATAATCAATGATAATCAATGATAATCAATGATAATCAATGATAATCAATGATAATCATGATTCATGTCGATGGTTCAAGCCGAGTTTAACTCTGACTCGTGCAAGAGTGGATGATATGGATGGAGGACCATTTTGGGACATCAGTGATGGAGCTTTGTCCCGATGTACCGGTCAGATTCAGCAAAACAACATGATGAACTTCCAATTCTTCAAAAATTCTGAGCTGGTTGTTTTTTAAAGCACGATTTAAGATATTTAAGTCATTTTGCTTAGATCTTTGTGGCACTTTTTTTTGGACCCATTGTGATTTTCAGCATGGCTTTTTAGCCAACAGCAAAAGCAACGGTTGCGGCGACGGGCCCGGCCAGCTTTTCGTGCCATGCTGCGGCGGAACGCCCGCCTCCGAAAGGAGTACCTCTACAAAAAGGCCACGCCACAAAAATCTCAGCCATCAAAAGCTCCGTTGATTATACACTCACAATATTGGGGATTATACCTGGTTATACATGGTTATACACTATATAACCAATAATGATTCTATAGTATTCACTATTATTGAGTGTATAACCATGTATAACCATGTATACCATGTTAAAAAAAGGGGCTATACATGGTTATACACTCACAATATTGGGGATTATCATGGATGATCCAGAAAAATATTGGGAAAAAAACTCCCGTTCTCAACCAGGAGTTGTTATTCCGATGAGTTGCAATTCCTGTGAGAACATGGTGTCAGATCATGAATCAGGAACATATGTAACATATCTTTGATAATTTGCTATGAAACACATGTCAAAACCGGCAAAACCGGAACCACCAGAAACTATGATGAACATATCGAAACCCTGATTCGTGTGGAAGGGGTGCCATGTCAATGCCTGGCTCTAGGCCTTGGAAGATCGGGAAGCGACCACCTTTGACAAGAAGCGAAAACTGCAGGAGGCGCGGGTGAAAAATCATCAGGAGGCTAGTGACAAAGTGGATGATCATTGCCAGCATTTTAATCCATTTTATTATCCTCTGGTAAACATACAAACAACTATAGAAAATCACCATTTTGAATAGGTAAATCAACTATATATGGGGTATTTTCACTAGCTATTTTGACATCACCAGAGGGTAACTTGGCACTGAATAGCTAGGCTGGAATAGGTAGGCTGGGATATCTCTGACTTCAAAAATATCTTTGGCGTCTCCGTAAGCTCCATAGGCCCTGGACAACAACAAGGCCATCCCCAGTGAGCTGAAAGGGGAGGACAACAAACTGCGAAAGACCCTCGACCTGGCCGATGATCGAACCAAAGATCAAAGGAAGGCCATGGACGACGAATATGCATACCTTGGAGTGAAAGATCCCAAGGCGGGATCATCTTCGATATATTCGGATTGGATGGGATTGGCTAGATTGGCTAGATTGGCTAGATTGGCTAGATTGGCTAGACATATCAATATCGTGAAAAAGATATCATGAAATTCTGAAATGATGTCATTTAAGATATCATGTAAGATACCCTCTGGTAAACTAACAGTCTAACAGTTCACTATTGGAAATGGCCCTAATCGAAATAGTTGATTTACCTATTAACAATGGTGATTTTCACCATCGTTTTTTGTATGTAAAAACCAGGCCGGGTATCATTTGCTAAGCCTTGGAATCACGCGAGAAGATCACCTCGGTGAGTTTCCAGTGGCCAGGTGTTGGTGACCACTTCTAGAGATCCATCCTCTCGCTTGAGCCAATTCCTAAAGGAGCTCCGGATGCTGTGCCCTGGCGAACCTGGCGAACTGAAGTCGACTGAAGTCGACTGACTGTGAAATGTTTTGGAAAAACTTGACCTCAAGGTGTGACCTCAAAGATAACCTACCTCAAAGATCATGAAATTTCACAGACAGATCCTAGAACCATAGATGATCATAGATGTCCCAAATTCCTGGTTGATTCATGGCTTTAACAAACCCCTTTAACAACAGGTGGATGTGATGATAGATGCCCTGCAGGTTTCCCGGTGCCCAGCGGATGAATCGAGGCGCTTATGTCGTGAAGGACGGGGTCAGCTCCAAAATGGTACCCTCTGGTAATTTTCAGCTCCAACTATAATGGTGATTTAATGGTGATTTAATGGGATTTAATGGGGATTTAATGGTGATTTAATGTGATTTAATGGTGATTTAATGGGATTTAATGGTGATTTAATGGGATTTAATGGTGATTTAATGGGATTTAATGGGATTTAATGGGATTTACCTGGTAAACATTCATAGTTCACCATTGAAAATACCCCATAGAAATAGTGGATGTACCCATTGAACATGGTGATTTTCCATCGTTTTTTGTATGTTTACCAGGCCGGGTACACATGAGCAATGTGATGCGATACGGAATGATATGGAGTGATATGGAATGATATCCGATGAAGCACATTTAAGAATCACCATATATCAACATCAAGATGTTTTGAAACCAGTCCCAACAATGTCAAGCGGCCATTCGTTTCTCCTCTAGTCACCAGTTGGGCAATCTGTTTGTTTTTGCCATGGGAAAATCACAGAAACATATCAATGCATATCATCCATCTCAATAATCCCAAAACCGATTTTTTTCAACACCATCCCCAAAACCCAAAACCATTATTTTTCATAGAGATTTACCACATATTATGATTTAAGGGACCATGAATTACCATATTAGTTGCGGTGTTTCAGCTGGGATTCTGCCAGCCATCCCAGGACCTGATGCAGTTGGCACGTTCTCACGAGATGACGGACGTGGTCATTGTCCACGAGCACCGAGGAGAACCCGATGGCATGGTGGTTTGCCATTTACCCTTTGGCCCGACCGCATATTTCGGTTTTCAGCTTAGAGATGACTGAGATGACAATGACTAACATTGGCAAAGAAAAAATTAGAGAATTTTGGCAAGACAAAAATCATATCAGATCAGATACTCATGTCATGTTTTTTGGTGTTTTTTGGGATGTGTTTGGGATGTCCAAGGCCATGTCCGTCTTGCGACTTTTTTTGGATTCTCCAAGGTTTATCCAATGTGGTGCTCCGCCACGACTTGGCGGACAAGCCGCCCACCATGTCGGAGGCCAATCCGCACCTGGTCTTCCATGGCTTCACGGCCAAAACGGGACTTCGACTCAAGACCATCCTGCAGGCGTGGAATCGGATGTGGAATGATCTGAGAGGATGGAGTTTCCCAAGGTTTCCAAGAGGAGAAACGAATGGCTACTTGACATTGTTGGGACTGGTTTCAAAACATATTGATGTTGATATATGGTGATTCTTAAATGCGCTTCATCGGATATCATTCCATATCATTCCATATCATTCCATATCATTCCATATCATTCCATATCATTCCATATCATTCCATATCATTCCATATCATTCCATATCATTCTGGAGTCTTAAAAGTCAACTAGGAAATTGACTGAGAACTAAGAGACTTTAAGAGACTTAGAGTAAGTCATGCATCCAGTTTTTTTTGGTCACAAAACACTGTGAATACCACTATTTTGACAATTTTTAGAGCAAAAATCACTCCTCCATGAGGGGCCGTTCGGTTTTTTTTGGGTGGCTTTATGTGGCTTTCATGACTTTCCACCACCAAGCCCAGCATGTTTTGTCAACGATTTTGGTGCTCCAACAGGCACTGTTTCCTCCTGCAAAACAAGCGGGTGACCGCGTGATGACCTTCGCGAATCGCCGCTTGGCTGGAGGAATCTGCTCACCATGACCTTCCCGAATGAATGGCTACAAAAAGAGAGAAAAACCCTGGGTTTCAATGTGAAAAAAGCATAAAAAGCCATGGATTTCTGCAGTGAAACTAGTGAAACCGTGAAAAAAACCCGAAAACCCGTTTTTTTACCCATATCATTTCTGATGATGCGGTTACATAGTTAGCTAAGTTGGTTCACGAAAAAAGAACCATAGTGTATGATACTTATATATACTTATAGCTAAATTTAGATGGGCTTATAAACCATCAAAAAAACCAACGTTCACATCACACTTATTGGGGCCCCAACCTGTTGTCTTTCCGTGGTTTTTGCCTCGCGTCGAGGTCGCGACGTGATCCATTTTCGGCATCACACCTTTGTGCGGCCCAAGGGCCCTGCCGGCGATGGGCACAAATCTCGTGCAGCGGACTCAGCGCGTGATGGCGCCAGGTGAGGCCAGGGCGCCAGGTCTACCCTCTGGTTATGTCAAAATAGCTATTGAAAATGGCCAGTTATAGTGGATTTTCCCATTAAAAATGGTGATTTTCCATAGTTATGTTAGTTTACCAGAGGGTATCTTTGCTGTTGATTGAATAGTAATCGCAGCTGGTTGCTGGTGACTGGAACCATGGAATTTTATGACTTTCCAGAAACAGTTGGGAATGGAAAATCATCCCAACTGACGAACTCACTCCATCATTTTTCAGAGGGGTGGCGAAAAACCACCAACCAGACAGAATATCACATCATATCATGTGAAAATCATTTAGGATATCCTATTATAGTATATCACATTCATCATTAGATTAATGTAAATGTGATATACTGATATTTTTTTTTTAAAATGTAATGTGATATACTATTATACTATACATTAATCACCTTAATCATTAGATACCCTCTGGTTATGACTAACATAGATGGCTGGAAAATCCCAAAAATAAATGGAGGTTTCGTTCGCTGGGAAAATCATCTATTTCTATGGGCCATCGAAATCCCATGGCAAACTGTTAGTCATAACCAGATGGTATAGATGTCTATAGTCATACTATAACTATAGTCTATAGTATAGTCTATATATAGTATAGTTTATCATTTTGGTATAGCATTTTAAGATTTATTTAACATCATCTTCAACCTTCATCATCTTCATCAACCTTCAATCCCCGTGGCTCAGGTGGTATAACCATGGCTCGTATATCACATAAAAATCGTCTCCTGGTATTTTTCCCTCCAAAATCCCAGGCCAAAGATGTGACTCTGACGGAGAATGGTCCGCGATTCACCATGAGGTGATGGTCTCAGATGGTCTCAGCATGGCATTGTGCAACTTGAGTCGGACACATATCCGACATATCCATAGGATATCCACAAGATATCCAGAAGAACATGGATGAAATTTGAGCATCATTGAGCCATTTGGGCCGTATTGTGAAAAAAGGCGCAGACCAAGTCTTGAGAAAAATGAACAACCATCCCCAGTGAGGCTCTTTCGGTTGGAGCTTGGTGCCATTGACATGAAGGATGTTGAGGCTGAAAAAAAAGGGAAAAAAGGGTGGGGTTCAACAGCGAGAAAAGATGGGACTGGTTCAGCCCAAGGCAAAATGGGATCCAAGCAGGTAACAAAATGTACATAACTAGCAAACATCTGCCAAAAAACTGGATGTTGCCAGCAAAACCAGTATGATTTTGAAGCAACAAGAATAGGATAATAGGATATAAACTGGATATAATAGGTATGGGTCAAGTTTTTTGAGCTCCTGGTACTCTTCGTTTCTTGACCCACAGGTTGAATGGGTCTTGCGGCCTTACTTCAACCGACAAAAGGAGGCTTTAGCGCTTCCTGAGGATCGGACATGGTCGTGAGTTGGGATGGAGGTTGGTGCATGTAACAGCTGCGATAGCCATAGTATATATATATGATATGTGATATATATATATTTATATGTATAACTTGATAGCATTAGATATTACGACCCCCTTGTTGGATTCTTGGGGAATGCAGGATGAAGAGGAGACATGAGACCGATCGCGGCTGCCTCGGGGCGTGGCGATCCGGCGAAGCCAGATGTTTCACCGGTTCAAAAAAGGCGAGTTTCAGGTCCCAAGAAATCTGCAAGTCTCAGGCTTCAAGGGCATCACAAAAACACATGTATCTGGGTAAATTATAACGACCTCACTGTTCTCCCTCACTGGAATCATGGTTAATAAGGGAAATCATCCCCACATGGCCTTAATTCAGGTTAGTGAAATATTATAATTTACCCAGATATATGATATAAATCATGAATATCAATTAAGAGAATCAACAAGGCTTCACATTTTTGTTCCTGGTCTATCTGCGGCCATTTTCACTGGAACGAACGCAGCGTTCCGACAGCCCGCTGTGGGTTTCCCCCAGCAGCTTGGAGGACAGAGGATTCGGGGAAAAGGATTGTTTTTTGGACATTTGACTGGACACAGTTGAAAAAAAAGGTATAGAAAAAATAATGGAAAACATAGGAAACATGGAAGAACATGGAACAGAAAAATGGAACAACATGGAACACTGAATGCAGATAACAAAGAAAATTTCAAGATTCACTGCCAGGAACGGGATGTTTCACGTGTAGAAGGTTCTCAACGAAGGCGTTCACGAAGGCCAAACTTCTGTGCCCGGGGTGGTGAACATTAGTGAACACATGGATGTAATCCTCAACGAACTATTTCTACATGTTTTGACCATCCAACGAAATTGTGAAGTTGTTCAAACGCCGCATTTGTTGTGAAACACATCCCTATAAAATAACAAGGACTCGGCCATAAACGCGCCGAACCCTTTTGCCCAGATCCCGAATTTGGAATGGATCTCGAGCCGGAGAATTCGAAGGTGCAGGATTGAATTGGGATGGGAAGATTGACATAGATTGACTGTTCTGATTTTTGTGATTTGGTTTAACCGGGTTAAACCCAGCCATTTACACGCTACAATTGCTCTTGGAACCATTCATAGTTGATCATCCCAGGTCATATGGTTCCATCTTTTTCTTGCTCTGCTTCAGGCAATCAATCGCATCGGGCTGCATCCCCAGTCGGAGCCGTCCAAGAGTTAGTGCACCAACAGTGCACCGACAGTTTAGCATTGTGAGGTGTGGCTTCCTACCGTGCGCTGAGAGCTCCTTCGAGAGCTTCGCTTTCGTTGAAAATGGCTGAAGTATGGTGAAGTGATGAAATGAACATTTCAGTTTTTTTTTATCACTTGTGATGCTGTTTGATGATGTCTGATGTTTCGTAAAGCAGTTGTTTTGGAATGTGAGGTACTTCTTCCTGTGTTTTTTTGTCGCTGGCATTCCCTGTGCAGCCTCTCTCCTGCTGTGGTCCGACATAGGCCGATGGGCCGATGCTGGGCCGATGCCGGGGCTGCTGGATGGGAATTTTGGGAAACGGATTCGTCCACGGCCAGGTTGGGGCGAGCAGGTTTTTGCCTACTTCGTAGGTGGAGATGCTGCTTGGCTCTGCAACTTGTGCGATGTGGAAGAGTGCACAGCTTTCAGGGTAAATCTCTACTTGCGTCACTTTGGGACTTTCTAAGACTTTTCTAAGTTCTTGACACTCTATTTGAAAGTGACGATGTGATCACTGCCGTAAGGTCATCGGGTATGCTTTCGGCTGCAGAGCCGTATGCATCATGCTGATCTTGTGCTCTCCCATCCGGCGAGGATGGTGTAGAATGTCCAGAAATGACGAGAAATGACGAGACATGTCACTGGTAAAAAGGAAGCACCGGAGATGAAGTTTCCTTGGTTGAAAGAGTAGATTTTTTTTAGAGACCAGCTTGAAAGAGGGTAACAACTGGTAACATGGATGTAGCATGGTACTATGTGGATCTATGTGGTACCATACTGAGCACATACGGGACCATATGAAGCAAATCTGGATCTCACGATTCTCACGTCACCGTCACTATGTTTCGATTCTTTAATTCTTTGACCTCACAGGTATCTGCTGGATTTCTTTTGGCCTCCACATTTAGAAGGTGCGCCGCGGACGTTGGAAGATTCCATGATCTTTTGTTGACAGCAGAAGGCCACGGGTCAAACTTGGCTACGCCCCAAATATCTTCACATATTCTTCGAATCAAATAGTGAAGTCACAACTGTTCGGACTGTTAGGGTAGCCCAACAGGGCTCAACAGGGCTCATTTCAGAAATTCTCAGGTCAATACTTTGTGCTTTTCTCGCAGGACGGGCTGAAACTGGTTCCCAGTGGGCTTGAGAAATGAATCGTTTGAGACATGCATGATATCGGTATTCTATGGCATTCCACATTTCACATCTTATGTAATATATATATATGAACATTATGCAGCATATTAAATCCATCAGTATGCTTTACACATATAATCTATACCATTCTACACCATACCATTCAACCCCAGGCCCCCAATGGTACCTTCTGCTGTACCTTCAACGCAGATCCGCTGCGTCTGGCAGGATCGGTTTGTTGGTCGATCTATCTTGGCAGTGGCCGGTGTATTGCACAGTCCTGAGACTTCTGATGACCTGTTGATAGAATTGGATGATAGTTTCCTGTAAATTGGATTATGTTGATAGATAGAATTGGTCAACCACCAACCAGATATCATAGAATTGGATGATGGGAAAGTTTGCAGGAAAGCCCCAACAATTTGATGGTAAAAACCCATGGGTTTCCGGTTAAAATTTTCCCTTAAACCAATCCAGTGACTTGTGTCTGAAAATGGGGTATACCCGGCCCCCAGGCCCGGTGTGGGAAAATGATGGAAAATGAGGATCCATTGGAATTGGGGGATACCGATTATTGGGTACCCGGGATTCAAAGACATCCACGAGACATGAGTCAGGTGAGTTTGAACAGATGTTGTTTTTGGTCTCAGGATTTACATCGCTGCTCTCAATTTGGCAGAGGACAGCCGACAGCACATTGGGCGAAACCTTGGGTTCCTAACAATGAAAAGCGGGAGATGCGCAATCGCATTAAAAGCCACTTGCAGAACACTCTTGCTTGACACTCTTCTCGGACAATCATGTGGGACACTCTTTTGTGACACTCTTGTCTTGTGGCATACTCTTGTGGGGCACTCTTGTGAGACACTCTTGCCTGACACTCTTGCTCGACACTCTTGTGGCACAGTCTGGTAAAACACTTTCTCTCAATACTCTGAAACACTCTTGTAAGACACTCTTGTTGGACACTCTTGCTTGACACATCTGGAACACCTCCCAGAACTACTTTGTACTACAGAGCTTGCACAAGGCACTTCCCAGTATTACTTCGCACTCCAGACTCCACACTCCACACTTAACTCTCCACACATCACACTTCACACTCCACACTTCACACTCCACACTTCACACTCCACACTCTCCACTGCACACTCCACACTTAACACACCAGGCTTCACACTTCACACTTCACCACTCCACACTTCACAATTTCCACGCTTCACACTTCACACCTTCACACCTTCACACTTCACACCGCACACGTCACACTCCACACTTCACACTTCACACTCCACACTTCACACTCCACACTTCACACTCCACACTCTCCACTGCACACTCCACACTTAACACACCAGGCTTCACACTTCACACTCCGCACTCGACACTTCACACTTCACACTCCGCACTTCACACTGCAAACTCTCCACTTCACACTTCACACTCCACCTTTCACACTCCACAGTTCACACGTCACACTTCAGTTCAAACTCCACTCTTCACACCTCACACTGCACAGCTGTCGCTACACACTTCAAACTTCACTTCCCGCTCCACATTTCACACTTCACACTCTACACTTCACACTTCACCACACTTCACACTCCACACTCCACACTCCACACTTCACACTTCACACTTTCCACTCCACACTCCCCACTCCACACTTCACGCTCCACACTTCACACTTCACAATTCAGACTCTCCACTTCTCACTCCGCACTTCGCACTTCACACTTCACACTCCACACTTCACACTTTGCACTCTCCACTCCACACTCTGCGCTTCACACTCCACACTTCACACTCTCCACTCCACACTCCACACTTCACACACCACTCTTCACGCTCCACACTTCACACCTTACACTTCACAATGCAGTTTCACACGTCGCGGCACATCACCTTTTCTCACTTCCCCGAAAGACAGCGGCAACGACGCCATTAGAGACCCCCAAAACCACTTTCACCTGAGTGCCACAAAGTCCCACGCCTGCCAAGCGAAATGTACTTTCACACGTCACAACACATCACCTCTTCTCACTTTCCCCATAGACAGAGGCGACGACGACATTAGAGACCCCCAAAGCAACTTTCGCTTGAGTGCCACAAAGTCCCACGCCTGCCACGCAAAATGCGCTTTCACACGTCACAAGACATCACCTCTTCTCGCTTTTCCCATAGACACCCCGACGACGCGATTAGAGAAAAAACAAAACGACGAGCAAACAGTCCACCACCCCCAGACCCCCAAGAAAGAAAACAAGAACCCTTTGCTACGCATTCGGGAAAAATGCACATGCATTTCAATGTTGCTCTTGGTATCTCTTAGTTGTATCTCTTGCAAGTGCCTCAGCCGACACACTCCACACTTCACACTCCACACTTCATACTACACACATCAAACTCCACACTCCACACTTCACACTCCACACTTCATGATACACACTTCACACTTCACTTCACTTCACACTCCACCCTCCACATCCTCCACATCCTCCACATCCTCCACATCCTCCACATCCTCCACATCCTCCACATCCTCCACATCCTCCACACTTCACTTCGCACTGCACGCTTCACACTGCACACTTGACAATTCACTTAATTTCACTTCACACTCCACCTGTCACGCTGCACACTCGAAACTGCACACCTGACACCGCACACTTCACACTTCACACTTTGCACTTCGCACGTCAGACTTCACATGCCACACTCCGCACTCCACTCCACTCCACGCCGCTTCACTTCACTTCACTTCAGTTTAGTTCACTTCACACTTCACACTTCGCACTGCCCACTTCACACTTCACACTCCACACTTAACACTCCACACTCCACACTTCACACTTCAAACACCAGGCTTCACACTCCACACTTCACACTTCACACTCCACACTTCAAACACCAGGCTTCACACTCCACACTTCACACTTCACACTCCACACTTCAAACACCAGGCTTCACACTCCACACTTCACACTTCACAATGCACTTCCACACGTCACAACACACCACCCTTTCTCACTTTCCCCATAGACAGTGCGATGAGTTGCGACGCGAAAACGACCCGCAAACAGTCCACCACCCCCAGACCCCCAAGAAAGACAACAAGAACTCTTCGCTACGCATTCGGGAAAACATCTTACTTTCAAGGACGGTTTGTCTGATTTCTTTGAACCTGCTGCATTTGACGGCAATTTCATCTGGTTTCTCAGATGTCTACGGCTAAGGTTGAGGAAGTATGAAGGAAAGGAAACATTTGCCATTCGGAATCATTTGCAATCAGCCTACCAGTGTCGATTTCTCTGTTCAGCATGCGGTAGTGCAGCGTATTTCTGATCATTCTTAGTAGCGTTGATTGGATTAATATGGGTTTGAAAGTGGGGGACGCCCCAAACTTGCCACTTCTATCGTAAAAAATTCATCAACATTCAAAGACCAATCCACAGTATTTTTTCCATTCAGAATTTACTCTGCGAATTGAACATGGCTATCGAAAATTAAGATTTTTTCGAGGTCAAACATGGGGTTTAGCCTCGGTTGGGCCAATTTCTCTTGGGCCATTTTCGCCTTTTTCGGTAGCTGACAGCGGCACTGCGCGCTAGTCCTATCCCTCGGTGCCAATACAGTGCACCGTGCTGATGGGGCCATTGCTGACCACTGTGGTGTTTGACCCTCAGGATCACCAACGGATCTCGGAAACTCCTGGGGGAATCTGAGACGGTCAACAAACATCCCGGATGGGTCCCAAACTAGACAATGTTCATCGATTTTCTTCGTTTTTTGGATGTTTTAAATGCAGAAAATGCAGAATACTAGGTTTGACATTTTTTGACCCATTGCCATGTGATTTTGATTTGACTTTAACTTGTTTCTGATGTACTCCTTACACGCACTTGGACCTGCAATTCAATAGTGCCTCATAACCCCATGTATCCCCTCGTGACTGATATATATGTAGTCAGTTGGAACTGAACACATTTGCTCTTCATTGACTTGGGTTTGTCTCAAAAAATGTGGGTCCCCATAATTATATATACATACATCTGGGTAAATTATAACGACCTCACTGCGACCTCACTGGAAATCATAGTTAATAAGGGGTGACTATCCCCAAATGACCTTAATTCAGGTTAGTGAAATATTATAATTTACCCAGATACATGATTATCATAAAGTCTCATAAGTCCATATATTTTCGAAGAATTAGCACTTGCCAGAATTCCAGCCAGTGGTAATCCCTTCGACTATCCAGAAACATTGCCGGGGATGGGATCTACGCCATGGTGAGTTTTCCCAAGGCGCGCTTTAACTCGACCTGTGCAAAAAGATCCCATGGTTGCGGCACTGCAGGCCGTTGAACTGTTGATTGGCCGTTGATTGGATGATGAACCATTTCCGTGGTGGGATAGGTCCGTTTGAAATATCACTTTGATAGTAACGAAACCATACCAAAGTATCATAAGTCATTGGAAAACGTGATTGGATTGTTTTCTGATCTAGTTCCAGAGATATCATTTCTAGTACGAAAGTATCATACATGTACCCTTGATTAAGGTAGATCAATGGAAACAAACTCTCCAAAATCAGAATTCCAAGAGATGGTCGCAACTCATATTTCTTCCAAACCACGGGCTTTTTCCATGGTTTTTCCATGGTTTTCCTATTGATAGCCAAATTTTTCCATGGAGTTTTCATGGAGTTTTTCATTTTCCTATTGATCATGGTTTTTCCATGGTTTCCCCCCATCGGAAATCGATGCCGCGAAACCGCGAAAGGGCGTCGATCGCATGAGCAAGATGGGCAGCATGCGGCTGATGAAGATGCAGCCGCTGGACCTAGAAGAGCCCAGTGGCAGTGGACTTATCGCTGGTAGCGGCACTAGGGATGGAAACCTATGAAATTACCTGACATGGTCAACTGTCACATAACGAACTGGAACATCACCATGCTATTAATAGGTAAATCCATGATTTCGACTGGGCCATTTTCAATAGCTTTTTGTATGTTTACTGTGGATGGTCATCCTGCACCAGCTGGGATGGTTGAAAGCCTATAAATAAATATAGGTAAGGGGATAAATCATCTCAACTGGTGCAGGATTTCTTCCTTCCATCCACAGTATGACATCCCAATGGACCAGGGCACTGGGGGTCAACTTGGGGATGCGCAAAGATCCGCCCTTTTAGTGGGCCACATCCTGGAAAACTATGGAACACTGAGAAGATGTGGTTCCAAAAACATCAAAAGCCTGAAGTTTTGATGCATCCCAATATGATTTATGAATTATCAAGACTATCATTATCAAGAGATGGTACCAGGATTTATGAAATTACATTTAACCTTGATTTTTACCATTCACAACTTCTGCAACTTGTTTTTTTTGCACAACTTGGCGTGACCAACCTGATCTGGCACCTGGCCCCAGGGTGTATGTGGGATCAGAGAAGGATGCCACTGCCTTTTACGCTGGCAGCATGACTGCCTTTATGCTGCTGCTAGCTCAGCATGGGAGAAATCGCTCTGGTGGTGTCAAGAAATGCCATTGGATACCATGGAAAAAAATCAGAGAGATACAAAATGATGTTACATGAGGTTCAAAACCCCGGTTGATGATTATGGAGGATTGTACACTAAAATGTACTAGTCAATATTATATATATATATATGTATATATATATATGATCACACACACACATATATATAATTATATATATATAATTATATATATATAATTATATATATATATATATACATATCAGGCATTATCGCAATAAATCACAATCCATAAGGGAAATCCCTATGAAGATGTTCGGGGCTAACCCATCATCCAGATGGCGTTTTTCGGAGGCTCGGCCTAGCGACCATCATTGTGTGGGTCGTGCGCGAATCTCAGGGCGCCGGAGTGCTCCAAGCAGTGGAAGACTTGTCCAATTGATGCGAAAATGGGATGACATGGCTATTTTGATGGCTATTTTCATCCATGACATGGCTATTTTCATCTGTTCGCGCATCAAGTAATGCATCATCAATTCATCAATCAGCATAATCAGGACAGCATCAATCTGATCAGAGATTTAGGTGGGCCCTGAGCAACAACATCGACTTCGGGAATGTGACCTTCGGAGATGCTGCATCGGTGTCTCGACAGAGTTTTTGCAGAGTTTCTGCAGAGGCATTTGATCAACATATCAACAGAAGTATGAACTTGTCAACTGGATAGTTGGATAGTTGAAGGTAGAAATGAGGAAATGACTATCTTAGACTCTTCACATCTCTGAAAACGACTAGTTAAACGGCACAGTTATCTTCGGTCGTTTTTGGCCTATTGGCAGGAACTCACGTACATCCGATGGATCTCCCCGGTGGTCGCTAGCTCAGAATGTTCAGCGTATCTATCAATGAATATCGCTTGGTATCCATGGTATGGAAACCACAAAAAACGAGTTCTTTGGGAACATCTTTTTGCAAAAATGGTGACCACCTGTGACCATAAAATCCAGGCCTAACTCAACTCAACTCTCAACTCAACTGACCATCAGGCGGTCGGGTTAGCTTACTTGATGTTTGGATTGATTGTCGGATCCTCAGCGCCACCGTGGTGACGTGGCCCTGGTGCCGTGGTGGTGACCCGAAAGTCGAGGTGTCCTTGCGGGTGGGCCTGGCCAGTTCCTATGACCATGGAGACATGTTGATGAAGATGGTCAAGGAAGCAGATCAAGAACGGGTCCGGCACCTACACCTTGGAACCTTGGAACCCCTTGGGGCGATCGGATGTTTCTGAAACCACGAAACCACTTGGCACCACTTCGGGAAAACTGTGACATAGCTGCCTGCTAGATATCTATAGATGCTGAAACGCTCGCAACATGATTGAATCGATTATATACCAGGGCCGAAATTATCTGAAATTTCAACCCGCCAGTTGAATGGAAAAAACCCCGCCGTCCCACTGAAAACTGTCCGCTGAGACCAAAACTGGCCGACTGCGGGCACCTCAGACCATCTCCGATCTCACCATTGGAGCTCAATCAATCAGGGGTTGGCAACTGTCCCATTTTGGGTATATTGGACATCACCATTTTGGGTAGCCATTATAGACCACAAAAACCTAATGGTTGGGTGATGTTCAATGGGGACATTTAATGACCCATGTCAATCATGATTTTTGCAAAGTTTTTCTCTACCCTCCGGTGAGAAGATTTCCATTATCATTGAAATCATTAAACATAGGATCCATGGTGCTGGTATATATGCTAACATAAAGGGGGTATATTGATGGGATCCATGTTACCATATATAGCAGCACCATGGATCTTATGGGTTTAAAATATTTTAAAATGACTTATTATCAGGGTCCAGCTGTTAATTTACCGATAACATGCGGTAACATCCGGTAACTGGTTCAGGTCAATCCAGAGGAAGACGTTGGTTGGCATGGTGGCACAGCAATTGGAGACGGATGACCTGAACTGCAGGATCCAGATTGGGCAGTTTTGCCCATGTTGTTGGCTTTTTTGCCATAAAAATATGGTCATTTTGGGGAAATCCTGATTTATCGCGACTATTTGACTATTCAAAAATGAGGATTTCCCCATAAAATCACCATTTTTTATGGTGAAACATGGGAGTACAGCCATGCACTCCGATGTTGCAAAATTGGTTGCCATTGGTGGAAGCTGACTTTCGCTGATGGGATAGCCATGGTGGGATCCTTTGGGTTGCCAGGAATGCCTTTGAGAAGCTCAGCCTGGCTCCCAGAAACTTGGGAGATCCGGAGTGGATGTAACTGAAATAGACATCAATAGACTATGAAATGCTAGACATTACATGATATTACATGACATGACATTGATATTAGATGATATTACATGATATTAATTGTACGCCCAATTTTTTCCACAATCCCAAAATGCCCACGTTGGTGGTATGATTCCCAGTCGGCAAGGTCCATCGCAGAAGGACAAGTTTGCGGAGAAGCAGATGTCTTCTGTCCTGGATCGAACCAATCACCAGCCTAATGTCTGTCAGCCATCGATTTCTCCATGAGAATTGCACTCAGAATCCATCGGAATTCGATATGAGATCTGGTGAAATCCGGGGATACCAATATGAAAACCATACCCTCTGGTTATGACTAACATAGCCATGGGATAGATGGCCTATAGATTTATAGATGGTTTAGCTATTTTCATAGCATGGTGATTTTCCATGGCAAACTGTTAAATAACCAGATGGTATATGAACATTATATGGGTATGGGTCAAAACCTATTAATACCATTTTTAGTGGGTTATTCACATCCATAAATCCCAGCTATTTTGATGTGAACAAAAAAGGGGTACAAGGTTTTGACACACTGCCATATACCTGGTTGGTGGTTTGGAACATTTGGATTATCTTCCCATGATGGTTGGGAATGTCATCATCCAAACTGTTAGTCATAACCAGATGTGATGGTATATGAACATTAAATTCATCAAAACCATCTGAAAACGATGCCATTTTTATCCTGGAGGCGAAATCTGGATTTGGTCTCTCGGATGATCAAGACCTGCGGCTGCGTTTTCGCCTTGATGTCACCTGGTGGAAGCCCACCGGGCAGTGTCCAGAAGCCGTTCGTTCGTCCATTTTTCGTCATTAAAAAAAATGGGATTTTTCTGAACTCCAGAAAAGGATGAACTCAGGGAAGATTGATCTGATTTTTTTGGAATCAATATGAAGAACACATCTTTACTGCTTGGTGCTTTCAAACATGAATTTTATTTTCCATTTCATATGGGATGTCATCCTTCCCGACGAAGTCCATCATTTTTCAAGATGGTTAAACAGCACCAGCAAGCAGTAATTATTAACCATCATTAACCATATAATAACCATATAATAACCATATATTACCATCTGGTTATTTAACATAGCCATGGAAAATCACCATTTTATAGCTAGGTAAACCCAGGTAAACCATCTATTTCTATGGGCCATCTATACCATGGCTATGTTAGTCATAACCAGAGGGTAACCATACAATAACCATATAATAACCATATATTTCCCATAGATTTACCATAGATTTCCCATATAACAACCATATAATAACCATATATTGGGATCATGGCACCTCAATGGCCACCAGGATTGGTACCACCTGGATGGCGTCTCAACTCGTTGCTTCCAACAGCCACCTCTCGGACCTGGTTTGGCACCCAGACACCAAAAAAACGCGTAAGGAGTGGAGATATGATGACGATATGATGAGATAAACATCAGGTAATATATATATAATATTTATATATAATATATTATATATTTATAATATATATATAGATATTATATATATATACACTATATATTATATTATATATATATATCGCAATGATTCTGGATGTATTTTTGTTTCAAGTTATATCAAGTTATCTTAAGCATTCTCCAGCATTCTCATTTTTCCCGTTCCAGTTTGAGTCATCCCCTTCCGACGCTCGCAGGTGCTAGGCTTTCTGGGAGTTTTCGCCCTGAGCTTCTTCTTGTTCGTCATGGTGGCGTTCCAACGCCTGAATGCAGTGATGACGGAGTGGTGCCAGGCATCGAAAAGCTGACGCACGTTGAGTGGACGTTGCTAGTGCTGCTAGTGCTGACGGATGTGCTGTTTTTGAGGTGGCAGTTGAAACTGTTGACTAGCCCAGTAGCACCTGTGGTGCTTGAAAAAAATCCGACTGATCGAAATTGAGCAGATAAGTGATGCTCCTTCAGCAGCAAAATGCTGAAACAACCAGCGATTCAACCAGTTTTCTGCAGCGCCTAGCATCCCAACCACCGGCCAGAAGCTTCCGCTGTATCGCCTGTCTCTGGCCCTGATTCGAAGTCATTCGGCCTCAGTCCGTACTCGACACGTGGATTTTTACCACCAAAAAAGGCCATTGCTGGTGGATTTTCCAAAAAAATGCCTGGCAAATGGCTGGAAAAAACTAAACCATTAATTTTTCAGTGATGGCTGAGTTGGTAAAAAAACACCGCTTTTCAAAAGACTAAGAGTGACTGGCTGAGTGACTAAGCTGAAAGTTGTTTTTCGCTGTGACACCTCTGGTAGCTTCAAGGTGACTGGGTGAGGGCAATGCTTGTCTCTAGCTCAGGGTGTTTTTTGTTCACAGTGACATGTTCCGAAATTCCGAGCTAAAAAAAGATAGCTAGCCTATGACGGCCTTCAAGCAATGTGTTGACGTGTTTTTTTTTTCAATAATTTCTAGTTGGCAAATAGACATCATTGTTGACCGCTGTTATCTCAAGATCCCCATTGTCGTTAAAGAATTCACAGGTTTTCGGCTTCTCACCTGCGATACCCTTCGTGTGAATGCCTCAGAACGTTGGACATGTTGGATCGGTGGCAGAAATCCTGACGAAATGAACTCAGATCTCTTGCAACTTCCAAATGAACATATGATGAAGATATGATGAAGATATGATGAAGATATGATGAAGATATGATGAAGATATGATGAAGATATTGATGACATATGCTCCCTTGCTTTCCTGAAGATCCTGAAGATACCCCGCAAAAATATCGAAATTCATGGCATGTTCCCCCCACCGTCGAGAATTCCGAGGCTCGTCCTCTCCTTTGTGAACCAACGCGTCCGGAGATGCAGACACTTAGACGGAAGACCGAAGGCTGTGCTAAGCTGCTGACATGCTGCGGGACACCCATGTTTCACCAGGTTTTATCATATGATGTGTGCAGTATATATATATATACAATATATATATAGCTATTGTAGATGCAAAATACATATATATATATACATACATACATATATATATACATATATATATATATACATATATATATATACACATATATATATATACATATATATATACATATATATACACATATATATATACATACATACATATATATATACACATATATATATATATATACATATATATATATACATATATATATACACATATATATATACATAGATATATACATACATATACGTGTATATATACATATATGTACATATATATATATATATACATACACGTATACATACAATTTAATCTTGAATACTTGAGATATGCGTTTTGCATCAGTGTGGAACCACACTTTGTGCTCAGTGGCGTCAGGCTGATGATGTCCTGTCAGCACCTCAGATGTTCTCTCAGATGCACCGAAGGCATCCGTAGGGGGTCCATGATCTGAGGGAAAGAGTGCCCGAAGAAGATGACCAGGATGAGCAACCACAGGAGATGGGGAAATGGGTGAGAAATGGGTGTGTGGAGCCATGAATGATATATATATATATGATATCTTGATCGAAGATGAATGATATGAATGTACGATGTAAGAGACATGTTTTTTGGACTTATCCTCTGACACTATTTTCAGACCTTTGGTTCAAGTTTTCTCAGTCCCAAACCAATGACATATCTTGGTATGGAACATGTTTTTGGTGGTTGAGAGGTCTTCACGTCTTTGTTCCCTTAGCTGTGTCCGCTGAGAGGAGCCGACTTGGTTCACAAAGCGAGTAGCACAGCAGGCACATTTTTGACTCGGCTTTAGCTGTGACCTAAAATGTCTTACCCGGCCTGGTAAACATACAAAAAGCTATTGAAAATTGCCATTTATGGTTGATTTACCCATAAAAAAATGTGATTTTCCATAGTTTTTTGTATGTTTACTCGGCTTCACATGGATCAATCGTAGCATGATGACTCGAGGTCGACACCATGCGGGATGAGTGGAATTGGATCTCAATCTTGCTGAAGGTTTATATCTTCGGTGGCAGCCCCGGGGGACAGATTTTCTGGTGCGTTTTACGTAGGGAGATGGATGGCAATGGGGGAATGGGATGGTTATTGATACCCTCTGGTGAACTAACACAGCTATGGAAAATCACCATTTTTCATGGGAAAATCCACTATAAATGGTCATTTTCAATAGCTATGTTAAATTACCAGAGCGTAGTTATTGTGGACCATTCCCGAAAATTTTCTGCTAAGCACCAGTAAGAAAATCAGCAGACTTTTCTGCACTGCTGGTGTTTGTCGGCCAGCGACAGGTCTGCTGATGCTGCTGTACACGACCTTTCCCATCATGCTCAACATCTTCCTAGCATGGCTCACCTCTCAAAGGGCGTCAACCGTGGTACTTAGAGAAGTATGAAGCTATTTTATACAAATGTAATAGATATGTAATAGATATGTAATAGATATGTAATAGATATGTAATAGATGTCATTCCAATATCCTTCCAATATCATTATTGAATAAAAACAATATAAAAATTAATACTAATATGTTTCAAAACCATTCTTGCTATATTTGGGAGGATGAACATCCATTTACCAGTTATTTGGGGTTCACTAGGGTACCAAGGTTTTGACTCATACCCATATGAATATCTTCCTAAAAGTTGATCTCGATCTGTCTCAACCTATCGAGGCTCAGCTCGGCAATGGCTGGCTTAGACTTTGCCATTGTCTGCGCGGGCATAGTTGCTGCAGGCTTCACTGGCTCCACCCTAGAGGATTCACCGGATCTGGGTTTGTCTGAAAATGTTGGGTTTTGCTATTCCCAATGAAATAGCCATTTTATCATGGGATTGTCTCAGCAAAACCATTGGGAAAATGGGGTACACTATTTTCAGACACAACCATATGTCTATTGACCAGTTTGATTATTAAATTAACTACAGTTGTTTGATTTGAACCACAGTTGTTGCCCCCATAGTGACCTCTTGAAAGTCAATATCTGCGAGGCTTATGCTGTTTCTTACTGCCACCGGTTGGATCCTCAGTGTACCAAGATCCACTTCGGTAGGCCCATGTTTTTCCACACGGAGAGCACAGGTGCCTGGGGTTCCGGTCTACATTTTTGCCGGCATCATCATCGCAGACAACTGTCCCTGGGGTTGGGGCCTAAGATTTTCGGTCGAAAATCACAGGATTGCTGGATGGAACCCCATTTCGCTGATCATCCCATGGTTCTTCTCTGTCAATATCAGTTATCAATATCAGTTACACTATTGTTACATCAGAACTAAACATGACAGCAGATATAAATAAATAAAAAGATTAATAAATAAATAAATACATAAAAAGATAAATAAAGAAATAAGTAAATATATATATATATATATACATGTGTGTATATGTATATATATATATGTTGATATGATATCAGTTATATCCTCTCAGCTTGGTTGACGCATGTTGAAACCCACCCGCTCTCGTTGAGGCTTCGAAGCTGGAGCAGGGATTGCCATTGGCGTTGGCTTCGTGCTCCTGCTGTCGCCGTGATGATTCTGCATTCTGCAGATTCTGACACTCACTGAACTCACTTCCGTCACTGTTTCCTTCAGACTCAGATTGTTGAGGTACTCAAGCTGTTGGCCTGTGCCATGCAGCAGCACTGCGCCCCAGCATTCACACCTTTGCCGAGCTGTGTCAGCTGTGGGACGGTCCATGGATTCCATGTGTCCATCGGCCCATAGGAAGCTCATCGGAGAGCGCTTGGGGAAGTGGACCTTCATCCGGGCTCAGGCGGCAGTTGCAGTGCAGTTACGGCAGTGGCATTTGGATGTTGGATACGCGCGCCAGGTGGGTATCAATCAACCCATGATCAGGGCTTTGGAGGCTGGGAAATCCCGATGTTCATCCATTTTCGATTTCGGATTTCGGATTTCCGTATTGATTTCATAATCTCATCATACTACATAATACTTCATAATATGTATATATATATGTATAGAGATCAGATTAGATCAGATTAGATCAGATTAGATCAGATTAGACTAATTTATATACTTGATGACATATTAGATCAGATAGATTATACATATATATATATTAGATGGATGACATTCCAATGTTGACTTTCGTGTGGAAAATCCACGGTGGATCCACTGGTCCCTAGGCGGTGTTGCGAAAACCCGGTTTGAGCCTGGGGAAAGTGTGGACCTCACTGCGGGAAAACGTGGGTTTTTACGTGTTACCCTCTGGTAAACTGTCACATAACTATGGAAAATCACCATTTTTGATGGGTAAATCCACAATTTCTATGGCAATTTTCAATAGCTATTTTGACATAACCAGAGGGTAAAGACAGTTAAAGACCCAAAATGCGGCGAAATGGCTGGATACTTCGGAAGAAATTAGAGCCATCGAACCGAACCATCTCAGAATTTCAGAACCATTTGCCTGTGACAAAAAGACACCTAAAAACATCTTTAAACAGAACGAAATGGCTAAACCGGGCCTCCCATTTTTAGAAGCGAAAGGTCACTGGGCCATGATGCTCAGTGCAAATCTGGTGATATAAACCGCAAGTGTTGGGATAACGTCTGAGAAACGGGATCAACCGGAAATGGCATTTGACCAACCTCAAATAGAGGGAGTTGGCGGTTGGCGGTTTCATTTATGTGTAAATTGTGCATCCTTCAGAATGGGATGAGGATGAGGATGAGGAGGATCATGCGTGACTACATACATAGCGCAGATGAATATTCACATTTTTGGGTTAGTGGAGCTGACTCACCGGCCTGGTGGTTTCAACATGTCCATGTTCAATCCCTTGGGATGACGATCCCATCCCAGGTGTCAATCCTTTGTGGAGGTCCAGACTGGCCCACTTCAGTCCTAGCTGGGATTTTGCGCTTGTCCCTGGTAGAATGCGAGATTGGAACATTGCCAGAGCCTCAAGAACTGCCGAGAACTGGCTGAGTTGGCAGAACATCTCAGAAGGCAAAGCCATGTCGGAATGTGCAAGACAAAGACATCTGGGTATGGTTTCAAAGTTGAAAACCCATCCAAGTTTCTACACTTTCATTAACTTTCATTAACTTTCATTCGATTTTTGGAGCTGTTTCATCATTTCGGTTTCGGTCCCAGGCCCATCATTTTCTTTGTGGGGGCGTGCTCTCTGTCGGGCTCGTTCTATCTGAAGCAGGAGGAGAGTGAGGCACACCTCACGTGGTGGAAGCGGAGAAACCGACATAGGTTGAACCCAAAGATGGATAGAAAGTGGATCGAATAAAAGGAAGTTTACCCTCTGGTAATTTAACATAGCTATAGAAAATCACAATCTTTGGTGGGTAAATCCACTATTTCTATGGTCATTTTCAATAAAAGGAAGTTTAGGTGAGTTTCGAGGATTCGTTTCGAGGATTCGTAGAGGATTCGTTTCGAGGACTCGTAAAGCTATCCAATGATTCTCGCCGGTTAAGCCCACTGAAGCCACCACGTCCTGGTAAAGCGCCAGTTCTGGGACCGCATTGCGACCTTCATGATGTGCAACACTCAGAAAAGGGACCAGAATCAACTTGTCAAATGATACATATATACATTGACACGTACATATATATATATATATGTATTGCATATGTATGTCTTATGTGTGAAGTCCATTTTTCATCATTTTCAATGGCCAAATCCAAGAGCGGTGTTCAATCCAGACCGCTTCCGAGGTCTGCTTCAGTGCTTCTTTGTGTGCTGCTGCAGATCATGGGTGTGTGGGCCATTCAAACTGAGCTGGATCGGAATGAATGGGAGGCGCGAGTAGCAGCGCCGACGGCCAGACGGTGATCTTTCGGGACAGAAAACAATGTATTGTCAACCGGAGAAATCCAAGCTGAAGGCGTGTGTATCATACTATATCATACATAGATAGATTAGTATTAGATGATTAGAATATACAGCCAAGTTATATAGCTATGCATCGTATAATATATATATATCATGAAATATATCTATATTAGTACAGATATATATGTTACTATATATATATAAAGATCTCAAGCACATACAGTAACATACATATTATATATTGATACAGTTGATACAGTTGATACATATCCTCCGACGCCAGTTGACCAAGCCTTTGGAGCAAAACTTGTCCCTGGACCTCAGCGATGGCTCCGAAAAAATAGTGGGTTTATGATGGGTTTATGATGGGTTTATGATGGGTTTATGGTGGGTTTATAGTGAAATGTTTATGGGATCTTACGGAATGTGATGAAATGTTATGGATCTATTTGACATATAATATGAATCTATATGAGGATGGGTCAAAAGCTACTACACCTCCTTTTGGCTATTTGTTTGGGTGGGTGAACATCCAGCTTTATTCGCCTTTTTTTGTGTTCACTAAGGTACAAGGGTTTTGACCCCTGCAGTCCCCACCCCACTTTGGGTTCTTTTGGTCGGAAAGGACCTACTTATCCAACCCTACCTATCTAATCCTATCTATTGATTCAAGTTGTGACATATTTCCATACAAAAATTGCTGGGTGAAAGCAGTTTTACACCAGCTTTGTGACACATTTGGTGAAATTTCATGGATTTTTCCAAGGCACTTGGATTGGTTGGACTTCAAAGCCACCCAAGTGGCCAAAAGCCGACCGCTGAGGCAAAATTCCGGTTTTTTCATATCACTTTTGGATGATTTTGGGATGTCTAAAGTTACCCTCTGGTAAACATACAAAAAGCTATGGAACATCACAATTTTTAATGGGAAAATTCACTATTTCTATGGCCATTTTCAATAGCTTTTTGTATGTTTACCAGAGGGTAGTTGACGTGCATTGAAGTATGCAATTCAGGAGCTGAAGAATTGATAGGTATATATATAATATATATATATCTCATATATTTCAGGGATGTACACGTTTGGGGACTGTTTCAGGCTGAATCCTGGTTCATGTCCTGGTTGAACAATCTTGAAATCATGTTGAAGATTGGCTGAATGGGTCGGCAGTTGAACTTGTGTCTATATGCACACTATATATATATATATGTATATCTATATATATATATATATGTATATATATATATATGTATATGTATATGTATATGTATATGTATATGTCAATGTATATACTTTGATCATCATAGAATATGTTTAACATGTAAAACAACCGCCTGAAAAATGATCCCAGCCACAGGTGGCCTGAGATCCCACTCTGGCTGAAGCTGCTCACAATTCTGGGTGTGCTTGGGCAGGTTGCAGACTTACCGAGACTCAGATTTTCTTCAAAACAACCAGAAAAACCTTGGATAAAACATGATAAAACCTTGGATGGTCATATCTTGGATGGTCATACTGAGTCATACTGAGTCATTCTGGTGCGAACTTGACCAACATACCCTTGAGTTCAGTGAAAACTGATTGGGCTCCAATTCTCGCCCTCGATTTTTCGCCCTCGCTCCAAGAATTCCATGGAAAATCCTGTGAGGTCATGACAGGCCAGCTTTTCTACTGGGTCTCTTCAATTTGTGCCTTGGATTTCTTGGATTTTCGCTGGGCATCAAAGTCGCACTAAAATTTGACCAAAGTCCAACACAGTACATTTGGCTACCTCCAAATCCACTGAAGGGGATCATCATTTTCCCCTTCAGATGGCATTTTTGGGGTTTTTCTGGGGTGCCATTTTGGTATCATTTTTCTGCAAAAAAAGGTGAAAGGGATGAACTTTGTCTGCCATGTGGCTTCACCTGAGGCTTTGGCGAGTTCGAAGTGACCGATGACATCAACGAGCTGGTTCTGTGGGTGGACGGGAGCACAGGCTTAGTCCTGCTTCCAGGACGGAAAACGCCAGAAACGCCAGAAACGCCAGAGACACGGAGTTCCGCAGCCAGTGGCCTATGGGGCCATTGGGATACCCTCTGGTAAACATACAAAAAGCTATTGAACATGGCCCATTTATAGTGGATTTACCCATTAAAAATGGTGATTTTCCATAGTTATGTGACAGTTTACCAGAGGGTATCAGCCGAATCGCAGGACTCTTTGGCTGCGCCATTTGCCTAGGAGGTGCCTCAGAATCAGATGGAATGGTGGCGATAAAACATCCCCGAAGTGTTCTTTGGTTTGTTGTACCCTCTGGTTATGTCAAAATAGCTACTGAAAATTGATCAAATGGCCCAGTCGAAATAGTTGGTTTTCCCATGAAACATGGTGATTTTCCATAGTTTTTTGTATGTTTACCAGGCCGGGTATTTGTTCTGTTTGTTCCGTCCCCATGTCGCATATCAACCACATCAACCACATCAACCGCATCAACCACAGGTTGGATCAGCTATTTCGCCCTGGTGGGTTGGGTGAGACGGCAACAAGCCAAGCCCTTCTACGAAGAAGGGCAGCGTTTGGATCAGATCGAAAACCAGTGGAAGGACAAAATCATGGGCTGAGCTATAGCTGCTATAGCTGCTATAGCTATAGCTGGGAGATGGTTGAGATGGCCGAAAACCACCGGCTCGTTTTTCAGTTTGAATCACTTTCTTTTCAGTTCACAGATTTCACAGATTTCAGACGTCGACACAGGAGCAACGCAGAATTCTGGCACAACAGCTGGTGGACAGCAGCGCTTGCGAGGAAAACTGGCAGGACACCGGGTGCGTTTTTTGGGTGTGACAATGTGTGACAGCAGGATGGGCGTTTTTCTACCACAAATACACAGGAATAGACACAGTATATGAAGGTATTATCAAGGTATTATGAGGTCATATACTTTATACAAACATGTATATATATATATTGTCTATATATATATAAACATATATATTTACACCATTACCATGGTATACCCATGTTACCCATGTTACCCTGGAAAAAAACCCTTTCTTTATATAACAGGCTTGCCCTATCCCACTCAGGCCTTGGAGAATTTCCACACGGAAGCTCTTGAGATGGTGCGGAAGAATGCGGCCGCACAGATCGAAACTGAATGATCTGACTGGCGCTTAAATTGTGTTTGCGCTGAAACAAAATCCGTGGCTTTCTCCAAGAAAAAAAGGATGTATGAGGCAATTTTGCAAAAAAGGGGTTAGCCCGGATGGATAAGAGTTTTTGATGATCAGAGATTGTGACAGGTCTTTGGTTTTTCTTCGTGCCAGGATTTTTGGAGAAACCCAAAGGCTGTGAGGATGTAGTAGTCACGTAGTCACCTCATCAGTGATCCGCGAAGAGGTTTCTTGTTGCAACTCACTTGGAGATCAAAAAATTGCCAGCCAGCCTAACGAAGGTGTTGTGGATACCAGATATTACCAGATATTACCAGATACCATTCCTGGAACTGTCTTCTGTTGATGATTTTCAAAAAAAACGATTTGCCCACTGGCACCTGGTTCCGGGAAGTCATCCCGGGCAGGGGATCATGGGCTTTTGGCCCAGTTCCAGATCTTGGGCGCCCAGGATTTTTCATAGCCGCATCATCTGAGATGATTGTGGTGCCTCGAGATTTTTGGCGGCCAGGGGAAGAAAACATGGTCGGTTCACGGTCGGTTGAACACGGTCTTCCGAACAAGGTGATGTTGCAATACCCTCTGGTAAACTAACATAGCTATTGAAAATGGCCATTGAAATAGTGAGTTTTCCCATTAAAAATGGTGATTTTCCATAGTTTTTTGTATGTTTACCAGAGGGTAAATCCTATTTGCACCCGTCATTTTACATGTTTGCTGGACTTGGAAAAAATGGAGTGGCCTGGCCTCTCACGAAGCACCCCCTGGACAACGAGGTTTGCCAAAGGAGTAGCTTCCAATGAACAAACTTGGTTTCCTGTTTAAAATCCGAAAATCCATCGACATCTGTGAAAAACTTCAAGCATCTTCAAGCCATGGTTGTTCACTGGGCTATTTCCATCTATTTCCCACTTTCAAAGAAAGTTCGCCATTGAAGTCATGAAACGACGCCAGCGTTCTGCCACACATTGTGAACAAAAGAAGGGCGACAGCCGCGGAGAGCCACAGAAGAAACCTCCAAGTGGAGCATCTTTTTTTCGTATAGGGACAAACATAACCAATAGATAACCAGAAAGACAACCATAGTACCCTCTGGTAAACTGTCACATAACTATGGAAAATCACCATTGTTTATGGGAAAATCCACTATTTCTATGGTCATTTTCAATAGCTATTTTGACATAACCAGAGGGTATCCCTAAAGTATCCCCCCTACTATTGGACATCCCCAAGTTGTATCGATTGCCACCTGCAGTTCAAACTCGTCGACTTGCAGCTGGATCGAGACACATTTCAAAAGGTCTGTGCACAGCAAAAGAGAACGCACGGTCGATCATCAGAATCCCTTCAAATTTGTTTGGAAAACGAGAAGTTAGGATGAGCAAGGTTTGTCACTCCGTTGCCATTTCGCTGAAGTGCTAAGTGCACTAAGTGCACATTCAGAACTCATTCGAAGCCAGATTTTTCTGCCAACAATTTTCAGGTCTTTGAAAGGAGGCTTCAACACACCAGCAGGTGCAGCCAGGTGATCAATTTTCATGGAACAATTGGCACGTCCGCCGCCTCCTTTGGCCACCAACTCAGCGAAAACCGATGTCAATTTTTGGGTGGATCCCATAGAATCCACTGCCACGACATGAATGGTGGTTAAGTCACCTGGTACATGGATGCTTGTGAATGGCTAGAATCTGGAGTTTCCCAGCTCTTTGCACTCTTGATTCCAGCTTGTTTCATACATCAATATACATCAATATACATCAATAATCAGCAATAATCATCAATAATCATTAATAATCATCAATAATCATCAACTCAGCATTTTTTCAGCATGTTTCAGCCTTTTTCGCCATTTTTGTCGTCACTCTGTAATCCAGCGAACCAGTGGCGAGGCACATCGGATCGATTTCCAGCCATCTCCTCAGCGGACTTGGAGGGGATGAACATGTCATATCCATGTCATATCCATGTCATATCGTGTACTTCTTGGTCGGCTTTGCCATGTCATGCCATGCAACTTCACCTTTGGTCGGATCGCGGTGCACGCGGTGCACGCGGTGTGAAATCAGGCGGAGATTGGGCCAAGCCATGCCGTGGCGACGAGTCGAAAAAACCAGGGCGGCTGCGGAGGGGAAAACCTCCAAGCCGCCAGCACCACGGACGGTAGCGATCATCGGTACCTTGGCCAAGTTTCATGAAGTTTCATGAATTTTTTTCCGCTGGTTTTTTCACAGGGAAACAAAAAACACATCGTTGCGTTTAAAACATATCCCCATCAAAATTGTTTTTTTTGGCCTACCAAATACTTGGTTGATATATGTTGAATTCCCAATCTTTCGTATTTAGTGTACAATAGTTACGCACACAGTATTCTGTATGATTCTATTTAAAAAAGATATATAAATACTTAGAATTCTATGTTCATGTTTATTTTCATGTCATCTCACTTGATGGCAAGGTGGTGGCGTAGCCGGCCTTGCCTGTGCCAGACGTTTGCGGTCTTTGGGCGTCAAAGCCACGGTCTTCGACACCGGGAAACGCGAACCTGGGGGTCGAGCCTCGTCCCGGCTATGGCGTCTTGGTGGAAAAACGGTCGGATTTTTGGGCTGAGTTTTGGCTTGGGGTTAGATGGTTTAGCAACGGTAGTGGGGTGAAGCAACCAAATTCTTGTGGCTTTTGTACGGATAGTTGAATCGGCAACAGTGGAAGTATCATTGGGTTTAAAATTTGACACCCACGTTTTCGTCAACGTGGCTTGAAAGGCAACAACATGAACAGTTCAACTTGCCAAAAATGGGGGTAAGAATCACTACACAGAATCAGATGGGGACATTAAGACCCAACCGAGATCTTTGGTGTTTTTTCAGACCCGCCAGAAATGGGCATGTGATTGGATAGCGAAATAATGGGAATCTGTTCAGTATGAGACCATGGAGGCTTTGTCAAGAAAATCTGTGAGTATGCAGCGTGGAACATTTCATGTTCATGGCAAAAGGCATATCATCAGGAAAGGTAGAAAGCCATTGAACGAACATGACTTCACCAAAGTGAGCATGTTCCCTTCAGCCAATTGAGAAGACCACACCTTCAGTTTTGCAAGATTCACGGAAACAAAATGATGTTTGGATTCGATTTCCGCTTTTGAGCAAATTTGATCAAACCACAACCCTCAATTTCCATGGATTTCCATGGATTTCCATAGATTTCCATAGATTTCCATAGATTTCCATAGATTTCTATTGATTTCTATTGATTTCTATTGATTTCTATTGATTTCTATTGATTTCTATTGATTTCTATTCATCATTTCCCATGGATTTCCCATGGGATTTCCCATGGATTTCACCAGGTGTGGCCAGGTGGTCGACCACGCCAGCCAATTCGTGACCTGTCTGGATCCCGAGCTCTCCGAAGTCCTCGCCTCCTCCGGGGCGGCGCGGCGCTTCGGCACCGATGGCCGCTTCGGGCGCCTTTCGACGGAGGGCTTCAGCGCCATCGACGACCAGTTGGAACGGTGGGTTGGGATCCAGGGCATGGCCGGAATCGTGAAGGCCTTGGCACAGGGACTCGAAGTTCATCAGGACCGGGTAAAAAAAAGATGGGAAAAGATGATGGAAATGATGATGGAAGTTTAATGATAATGATGATACTTGTTCTGAAAAGAAGATCTGTTTGTTTTGGTTCCAAAAAACAGGCAATTCTGTGTTTTTGATCTTCAACTGCCAGTTTTTCCTATGTTTTTCTATGTTTTTCGGCTCAGTTGGCTCGGCTCCGGGCCACAGGATGTTTGGGTTCCACCCTCCAACGGCTTACAAGCCGCCGGCGGCAGCTGGAATGTGGTGGTGCCCCGAGATCAGAGCTACAACTTCGATGCAGCTGTCATCGCCCACAACGGCAAGTGCGCGGAACGGCTCACCTCTTCAACACCCGCCAAGGAGGCTAGGTTGATCCTAAGGAGGCTTTGATAATTTTGATATATCAGAGGTCCAAAATGTTGATATTGGGACTCCAATGATTGGGATATTGGGATTTGAGGTCATTGAGTCATCAGTGAGTTATCATGGAGTCATCTTGAATTTTGGATCATGAACGATCATGGTTAGCTGAAAATGGATGAAAAGCATGTTTTTTCTTGGCACACCATGTCGCGAAGTCCAGTGTTTTGGAAGGTTCACGCCCTGCTTCGCACGAACTTTGCTGCTACTCTGCCCAGTCTCTTGGTCCATGCTAGTCCAAGTGTAGGAAATTTGGGCAGAGTTTGATCCCAAATGGACATCCCTCTGAAAATATGAAAGTCAGTTGGGATGATTATTCCCAATATATGGAAAAAAACAAATGGAGAAAGTTTGATCACATTCTGTTGGTGACCCGCTTGCGACCTGCTTGCGACCTGTTTCGCAGAGATTTTTCTGAGGAAATCCCGCGCCCGGAAGTGGCCGCTTCACTTTGAATCAAATCTACTCCCTGATCTTCGAGGTGCCCAAAGGTGTGATGCCCGAAAGCTTCGATGCAGCCGCTTGACCGCTGTCATTCTTGGGAGCAGTGAAAAACGGGACCCTTTGGATGTGGTATGATGTGGTTCATGAATCTTCATTTTATGTGTTTTTTGTGGGTCGGACCTGCAGCAACTTAAGTGGCCACTGTTGAGGCCTTCGTGGAGAATGAAGCTACTTTGTCACTTGGCCGAAATGACGGACTCAAGTGACCTGAATCGCTATCTTAAGGTTATTGTTATTGAAGGTTATTGAAGGTTATTGACCGCCCAGCCAACTAGATGGGTGTAATTTACAGTGTAATCATTTAATCGATTTAATCCCCAATCTGAGCTTTCTTCCTTTCATGTGTCCAGAAGTAGAATTTCTTTACTCGCTGGCTTGGTTGGACAATGTGACAGGCGATGGCTATCCTCGAACACGGGGAAACTGCAACAGAAAGCCGAACACGAGGCATGGGAACCATGGTTCGACAGGTTTGTGGTTGGTATCGCTCCAGCATTCCAGGTTTGGACGGCCTTGAGTTCTCCAGCCTTTGGAAAGCAGCACAAGGCGCCACAGGAATTCTTGGAAGGCACTGCCAAAGAAGCGGAGGCTTGGCCGCTTCGATGGCTGTTTTTGGTGGCCGGTTCGGTGGCTGTTTGGTGGTGCCCAGGTGGTAGATCTGATGCTGGCTGCAGTGGAGAAAGCCGTGGCCTTGCCTGCCGGGACGGGGATGGGTTCACCAGGAGTGTTGTTGAGACTCATTTTACGAAATTTCTCCCGTGAAAAAGATGAAACAGCTGAGATAGAGGCTACAGTGTAGAATATATGGTCATATACATACGTATATATATATATAATATGGTAATATATACATACATGATATATATATATTATACATATCTGTCACATTAATGATGCCATTCATTTTGCCGTAGTCTTCTCAAACGTCCACAGGACTTTGGGTGGAGCAACTGGGGCTGTGAGACACACGAAATTGCAGCTCTGGGGAGCGGCTTTACCAATCAGTCGTAACTCGGCGAAATTGTTCGACGCGCACGCGTAGGGCAGGCTTCACCATGTCACCATGTGGATGTGGGTCAAAATGGAAGACCATTAATGGGACCACAGATGTGAATGTCTAGTTTAGTATTAACCATCCAATTATTGGGGTACCTAATTTTGACCCATACCCATGTGTTTGTTACAGTTTCTAAGATCTTTTTCGAAGAAACTTGGTGCCATCTTCAACTATGGTGATTATCCATCGAAACATATCTAAACTACAGAATCAGCTGAGAAATTTGAAGGCGTTTATAGGCGTTTTCAGAAGTTTTCCAAAGGGAAAATTGCTGGCAGGATGGGCGAGCAGTGATGCTGTTGACTTCGTTTGGTCTGCGGCCCATCGCATTGGCATTGCAGGCACAACAAGTCACAGCGACAGCGCCAGGATGTGACTGGTGGTGGTGTGATACAATGGGAGCTTGAGGAAGAATGGCACATCATACTCACCAAGAAATTGCGAAATTGCTTGGTGTCTTGGTGATTCTGTGATTCTACCATATTCTACAATGTGACCCCCCCCAGTTATAAGTTGGTTAACAAAAGCCGCAGTAAGTATAGTTATAAGTACCATAAACCATAGTTATTGGAGTTATACACCAACTTAGCATTGTACCATATTCTACCAGCATTCCATGTGTTTTTCCCATGCCAAAAACGCCAGGCGACTGGTTGAGTTCCGTGCCCGAACGCGCATCCACCATCGAAGCAGCCTGGATCTCTGGAGTTCGACTGGCAGATCATATCGACATCCTGGCAGATTTTCCCGACCTGGGACGATGAACAGAAAATAAACAGCTACAGATCTGTAGATGTTGATGTTCATCAAACATCCATAAAACCTGGTGGGTTTTTTAAATGAACCATAAAAAACTGATCGTTTTTTTTTAAAATGAACCAGATGGTCGAAACAAAACGATGAAATTGCAGATTCTAAAAGGTGAAGCCGTTGTTTCTGCTGTCGAATTCGCCAGGCTGGGCATTCTTCAGATGATGCGGGCTTGCAATTAGGCCATGTTGGCCACGTCGCATCATGATGTGGATGTCACATGTGTCACAATGGATTGGTTTAAGGGAAAATTTACAGGTTTAAGCCCCATTTATTTCATGGGAAAATCGATGGTTTCCGGTGTAGATTTTCCCTTAAACCAATCCATTGAATTGATTGTCCAAAACATCCTGAAACCAACTCGTCGCAAATCGAAAAACGTATGTATCAGTGGTGAAAGCGAGACCAGTGGTGGTTCCGTTGAGCGTTTGGCCGTTTGGCTCAACGGTACCCTTGGTTTGGGACGAGTACGAGCCCAGCAAGTTCGCCATCCAACCCATCCAATCCATCCATCCTTGTCACAACGATGCCTGGAAAGTGCCAGGGAATTTGAAGCTCATCTTCAGCTCAGAGGTGCAGTCACCCGCGGTGGATCAAGTGGTGCCAATCGTTGAGATGCTGCAACGGCAGATGCAGCAAACGCAGCTGCATCCGCAGCATCCAGAAGTCCAAGCGCCTCAAGTGAAGGATGTGAAGGAGCCAAAGGAGCCATCAGAAACAGGAAACCGAACGCGAGGCACGCCACTTGAGTCACTTGAGCCCATGGTGACGGTTGTGGTGAAGAATATTCCGCTTCACTACAGCCAAGACATGTTTATGGACCAGGTCAAGAAACATGGATTTGAGGGTCTCTTCAACCTTCTTTACTTGCCATGGAACTCCAATGGCCGTGACACCAACAAGGGCTTGGGCTTTGTGAACTTCATCCATCCAGATGATGCTCAACGATTTCAGAAGGACATGGAGGGGAAGTACTTTGACGATGACGAACACACGGCTTGCCACCGCGGCTTGCCCATTGAAATTGAACGTGCAGATGTCCAGGGCCTCAAGTCCAACGGAGCCCGCTTCAACAAAAAATCCCACAGAGCTCCATGGTTGTCGCCCACAAAGCCAATGGTGCCATTGTTGGAGATTGGACAATGGGCTGGAATTCCCAGACGCCGCAAGGTTGGCGGCCAAGCTGATCCCCTGGTGAAAGCCGATTGAGCGCAGGTCGGCACTACGTCGAGCTTTTGTTGGTTAATGTCGCCGTCTGAAGCTGCTTCGCGGCGTCCGAAGCACCAGACATAGTGTGGATGGAAGAAATCCTGCACCAGTTGGTAACTATTGGGAACTATAAAACATTGTAAATAATGGGATTACAATGGGATAAACCATCTATTAACTGGTGCAGGATTTCCTCCATCCACAGTAGTGTTTAAAACACATCAGATCTTCTGTGGGTTGACTCCAAAGAAATGTCGTGGTATCATCACGTAAAACGTAGATGCGAGCCTCACTGACCTGTCAGTTCACCATGTTCACCGTCGTGCAGAGAGGGCAGACCATGCAGTTCCAATGGAACACTTTCCACAAAAGCCAGCCGCTAGGCCGCTAGGCTAGGCGAAGTTCCTTTTGCGAACAAAGTGAGTTATAGGGGTTCTGGGGAGCGGGTGAAAAGTGTGTGGGTGAAAAGTATTGAAAAGTATATGGGTGAAAAGTCTGTGGGTGAAAAGTCTGGTTGGGGGAAAATAGGGATGGGATGCTGGCTTTCGTTCCCCCCTTCTCAGGTTTATCATGGTTCATCAAATCCGCCACCTGTAGTGCAGAAAACGCATGAGTAGTGGTCCGTGGTGGTTCAATTTTGGCCTGATTCTTGCACATGTTCCCCATCTTCAGATGTTCTTCAGAGGTTTCAGGACATATTTTCAATCTGAAGATATCTGGAGGTTTCCCCAAAAATTCTGGGACCAAAATTGCCGGCTCCCATTTTTTTTTAACCCTCTGGTAAACATACAAAAAGCTATTGAAAATGGCCCAGTCGAAATAGTGGATTTACATGGATTTACCCATTAAAAATGGTGATTTTCCATAGTTATGTGACAGTTTACCAGAGGGTAAAACACATGGATTGGTTCAATCCATATCACCAGACGAGTCGATCGAGTCACAGGCGAATCGGGCGGCGTCTTCGTCCCGGTGAACGCGGACTTTGGCAGCAGCGGCAGCGAAGCAGTTGCCTGGGTGGACCCGGAAAGTCCCAAAGGCAAAGGCAAAGGACGAAAGGCCGGATACTGGGAGGGTGCCACAATTTGAAGTGCCGTTTTTTTTTGGAAAGTTGGGAAAGTGTAGGGAGTGATTTGAATGAAATGATGAAATGAAATTCATGACATTTTTCATTTTGTGTTGATTCTCCCTGGTTTAGTCATGAATCGATGTCTCAGATAATTCGATTGCGAATATTTTGAGTTCTAAGACGCTTGACTTGATGAGATTCCGTTGTGCAATACTTCCTTTGTCGGTTTCAGTCGTCGAAAACCGCCAGGGCAAGTGGAAGGGTCGAAGCAACAGCCGTGGGCGTGGATGACAGCGCTGCTTTTCGAAATATTCGAAGGACCTGTACATAGTTCTCCCAGTATGGAAAGATATGCCGTTTGCAAAAAGGACCATGGCTGCAGTTTGTAGATGTTTTTAGCTCCCACAAACTTCCTGACATGACATGACATGACATGACATGACATGACATGTGACGAAGTGTGTAGACGTTCCAGTTTCATGGCATTTCATAGCCATATTGGCTGGAGACCTCATGAAGAACACGAATGAGCTGAAGCCATCTGAAGCCTGCAAGTAGATCAAGTAGCAAGAAACAGTAACCAGATTAACCAGTCATTGACATAGAAAGATTCAGCAATGATTCAGCAATTGGATCAAACAATCTGTCACTGCGAATCACAGGAACCAACAGATCAAGTACAGTTTAGTTGACCAAAAATCCGCCCCCTGAGCGGCACAATTTGGCCATGCAGTTTCTGGGTGCTGAGCCAAACTATGGAGGCTTCCCCAATTTTGCGTATGGAAATCAGGGGTGACTTGGCCATTTTGGCGATGAGTTGGCCATTTTGATTATGAGTTGGCCATATTTAGTGATGAATTGGCCATAGAAATAGTGGATTTACCCATTGAATATGGTGATTTTCCATAGTTATGTGACAGTTTACGAGAGGGTATCCTTAATGTTAGATGGTGGTTGAAGAGTTCGGCTACCCATGGCTAGCCTGCTATTCCATTGCTATTCCGGTTAATCATGGTGAATCATCAAAAAAATCCCAGCAGATTGCCATCGGATTTTTCCGTCTTGGAAAAATCCGCCGAGGTTCAAACGCCGATGGCTTCCCAAAAGTGGATGAATTATGATCTGGTTGGTGACTGGAACCATGGAATTTTATGACTTTCCCATTGATATTGGGAATGGAACATCATCCCAACTGACTCAACTTTCACTCCATCATTTTTCAGAGGGGTAGGTATAGGCGAAAAACCACCAACCAGTGATGGAAGATGATGAAAGATGATGAAATATGGTGAAATATGGTGATGAAATATGGGTGGTTGTTTTATTTATCACTGGTGTTTCAAAAATATCATATATGGCATTAGTCCATTAGTCCAATATATCATACATCCAATGATATACTGGTTAATATATGGTTAATATATGGTTAATATATGGTCAATATATGGTTAATATATGGTTAATATATGGTTAATATATGGCTAATATATATGAAAAATCCAATGAAGACCAATGATTTTTTCCCTGTTTTTTTCCTGGTCTTCATCTGATGATCAAATTCACTGAGGTATAGCCAAGCCGGCTTGGCGGCGCCAGGTGCTCAAGCTGCTCCGGCGGCTCCGTTCAACGGCCGGAAAGATGGGAAGAATGGAAAATCCAAAGGCCTTTTGGCGAGGAAATATACCCTCTGGTAAACTGTCACATAGCTATGGAAAATCACCATTTTTTTATGGGAAAACTCACTATAAATGGCCATTTTCAATAGCTATGTTAAATTACCAGAGGGTAGGAAATTCGTGATCTTTTCTGATCTTTTCATTTTGGGGGTTCTCACTTTTCTGATCGTCACCTTAGTCCAAGAAATGTTTTCCAGACTCTTTCCAGAGTATTTCCAGAGTATTTCCAGACTATTTCCAGACTATTTTCCAGATTTTAATGGGTAGCTCTGAGATGTTTTTTTTGGGTTTCCTTCCGTCATCTGATTTTGGCAGAATTTTCGTTGCAGGGAAGGGCAGCTCCAAAGGCGCTAACGGAAATGGACATTGGGCTGCCGCAACCAGCGAGGCCTGGGGGATCGAAGCCTTTGGCTGGTAATTACTGCCATGGCTAGACAGAAACCAGAGGGCAACAGAAACGGCATGTTTTTTTTGGATTTTAAAAGGGCCATTGAATTTGGGGATTTGGGGAAACCCTATGATTTCAAGTTTGGAATGGGCTACACAAAAAAACATCAAAAAACCGAAAATTCACACAGGGAAACCCCTGTGAAATTCCACTGATGAGTGGAAGATGTGTTTTCAAAAGACGTGGATTTGGGGGTACCCTATGGTAATTTAACATAGCTATTGAAAATGGCCATTTAAATAGTGGATTTTCCCATTAAACCTTGGTGATTTTCCATAGCTTTTTGTATGTTTACCAGAGGGTACCCTATGATTTTTTTTGCGACAGACCTATATTTTTTTTGATGCTCAGGAGGCTCTTTCGGGCTTTGACGCCATGTCAGCAGCAGCCTCCAGCTATGTGAAGAAAGCGCCCAAGCAGGCCATAGCATGGTGTATGGATATACCCTCTGGTTATTTAACATAGCCATGGAAAATCCCTTATAAATGGAGGTTTTAATGGGAAAATCATCCATAAATGGGCCATTTTCCATGGCTATGTTAAATAACCAGATGGTATATATACCTGGTTGGTGGTTTGGAACATTTTTTATCTTCCCATATATTGGGAATGTCATCATCCCAACTGACGAACTCCATCATTTTTCAGAGGGGTTGCGAAAAACCACCAACCAGATACAATTTTATAGTCACTCCTTATCAGGATTCCAAAGTCAGGCTGTGATATGTTGGGATAAACATTGGTAAACTGTTACATAACTATAGAAAATCACCATGTTGAATAGGTCAACTATCTATAAATAGGCCATCTATACCATAGCAAACTGTTAGTTTACCAGAGGGTAAACATTGGAATGATTTTTCTCTCACCAAAATGTTTGATGCGTCGTTTTTGTTGTTGAAGGTGAAGGCCCCTGCTGAGATGAACGTGCCGAACTATGAGGAGAAGAATCCTTACCGCTTGAAGAACCACATCCGCGCCTGGTATACCGATGGTTCCAGCAAGGATGTGCCGCAACCATACACCAGCTATCCAGAGGCAGCAATTTGCGAAAGGTGTTATGTAATCTTATGTGATATTGACATATTATTGAAGCAATTGAGAAGAATTGCAAGCTGTAGAATACTGTAGAATAAGTACAAAGCAGCATCGAAACGGATGAGAGGTCATCTGATGAGGTAAAGCATGGTGAACCATGGTGAACATATTCTTAACAAAACCCAAACATCAACAGCATTTTCATATGTGCACAACAGTGATCAAAAACATGTAACTGACATGTGCCATTTTGGTCCATGATGGGACCATGGATTGTTGTGGAGGCCAACCTTCCGCGGCCTTTGTTGGATGCCTTCAAAAAGGCTGGCTTCCAAGCACCAACGCCGATTCAGGCGCAGGTGTGGCCCATCTTAGATCAAGGTTGGGATGTGATTGGCATCGCCAAGAGCCTTGGCAGCCTTGGCAGGTGAAACTTTAGCTTATTTTAGCTTCAAAGATCGCTGAAAAACCCGACATGGTAAACTGTCACATAACTATGGAAAATCACCATTTTTAATGGGAACATGCACTATTTCAATGGCCATTTTCAATAGCTTTTTGTATGTTTTACCAGAGGGTAACTCAAACATCACATATCATCACTGTCGTTTGTTTCTGGTTTTTCTTTGAAGGTTTGGTTTTAGAAGATCATTTTCCCCATGTGTCAATGGCCATAGTGACTAGGTGGGTAAGGTACATCAATGTAACTCTCCTATGTTCAGACCGATCTAGGTGATTGCCACCACAATCTTGATGTGCATGGAAAGTGCTGGTTCTGTAGGGTATATCCCATGATGTCTCCATTGCACCCACGATATCACCAATGATTTTTCACCAGTTAATTTGCTGTCACCACATATTTTTAAATAGCCACTAGACACCATTATTCTTCCCCAATTCCATCCAACAAAAAAAACACACAAGAACATCCTATAATCATGAAACATCTGAAAACAAACCAAGCATGATCAACAAAAAAGACACCAGAACAACATAGAACAACCACAAGTTAGACAAGATCAACATAATCCCCATGTATCCTATCCCCAGCATCTCCCCATGGGTTTCCGTGGGGTTTCCCCCTGTTCCGATAAAGGACGGGTTCCGGCAAGACGTTGGGTTTCCTGGTCCCCGCGTATCGCTGGATGTGGTCCAGCCCCTCCAGTGGAGTTCGGACCTTGATCTTGGCGCCCACCCGAGAGCTGGCCACCCAGATCCATGATGAGGTCCTGGGGCTTTGTTCAATGGATTGGGACCCCATCATGGATCCTCAGGAAAACCCCCATATTTTCATGATAATGGTTTTCCAGGTAGGTCAACCACCAACCAGATATCATAGAATTGGTTTAAGGGAAAATTTACAGGAAAACCCCATGATCTTCATGGGAAAATCGATGGTTTCCTGTAGATTTTCCCTTAAACCAATCCATTGATTTGTGGGTTGAGGATTTTTGGGTTTTTTACCCTCTGGTAAACTGTCACATAACTATGGAAAATCACCATGTTTAATGGGAAAATCAACTATAAATGGTCATTTTCAATAGCTTTTTGACATAACCAGAGGGTAGGGATTTTCCCTTTTGGGTCATGTCCCACTTTTTTTCAAAACCCATGGTTTTTGGAGGATCATGAGGATTTTCCGAAGGTTTTTTGGGTAAGACATGTTTTTTTTTTTAAACCAATGTCATGTTTACCACCCATGACCGGAAATGGTATATTTATAGCACCTATTTATGGATTATGGATGATTTTCCGAAGGTGGTACCCTCCAATTTAACACTTCGCTATTGAACATGGCAATTTTGCATGGGAAAATCAACTATAAATGGTTTTCCGAAGGTGGTCATGGTAAAACAATGTCATAACCACCATCCCGCTTTTTATCACCATTTTTTGGTTGGTGGTATGTTTACCATTTCCAAATGGGTGGTTTATTATTGTTTTTACCACATTACCCCCCTCTGGTAATTTAACATAGCTATTGAAAATGGCAATTGTTCAATGGAAAATCAACTATTTTGAGTGGGCCTGCTTTCCCCAATTTTTTTTGGCTATGAAAGCCTCATATGGGATTGATGAGATTGAACAAATAGCCAACAAAATAGCGAGAATGATAATGGTGAATGATAATGATGAATGATGATTCATATCAGTATCATATAATAGTAATGTTGGCTATTTGTAATTCATCATGAGAATGATATGGTGAATGATACAATACTGAATTCTCATCATCATCAATACTGATAGTAATAGTGACAATTCATGATGATGAGAATTGCTTAATGATAATGATGAATGATGATCATCATATTTTTTTTAGCCACAAATGATACCCTCTGGTTATGACTAACATAGCCATGGTATAAATGGCCCATATATAGCTGATTTACCTATTAAAGATGGTGATTTTCCACAGCTATGTTAAAGCACCAGAGGGTACATGATAACAACAATCAGGGCATTTTGAACTTCCCAACGATGAGGTTTCAGTGGATGGGTCGAAACCGAGTCGAAAGCTACCATGTCAATGTGGGGCTAATATCCATACGAAAACATGGGGAACATAGCATATTCTTCTGGGGATGAAGATCCACACATAGAAAACAGCAGCTATTTTTTGATGTGAATTCTTTGACCCGTTTGTGCGCCCTGTAGAAAATCACGGTGAGAATGATTGACCTTAGCAAATGCACGTATCACGTTGAGCAAGCAATTGATGATACATTTGATGGATCTGGGCGGAAATTGAGGGTTTCATCCATAGCACAGCCCAGCACGAGACTCGAAACGGTCCTTATCAAGGCGAAGCGATGTTTCTCATTCAGAATCCTTCTTCACATCAGCAATAGTAATCCATCTTCAACTATCGCAATATTCAGCAAACAGTAAACTACAGGACTGCAATCCTTCAAACACTAGCATCTGGTTATGACATTCACAGTTTGCCATGGAAAATCACCATGTTTAATAGGTAAACCGTTAAACCATCTATTTCGATTAGGGCCATCTATACCATGGCGAAGTGTTCATAACAAAATCGGGTAACCGAAATCCGATCGATCCGCCAGGCCACAAAGTTTGCCTCAGCTTCAGGGTGTTCCTCTGCCTGCGTCTATGGTGGTCAACCCAAGAGGGAACAGCTACCAGCAGTGCGAGCTGGAGCTCCCATTCTGGTTGCTACCCCTGGAAGGCTCAATGACTTCTTAGAGTACAAGGAGCCCAAAAAACACATGGCCAAAAAAACGCGGCATGGGATACACATGGGATACACCTCTGCAAAAAACCGTGGGATCCCTGGAACCTATCCGTCAACTGTTTGCGCGATCCCGAGTCTTTTTTTGACCAGTAGAGTCTCAAGCTCTCACGCTGTGTTTTTTCATGTTTTTTCCCATCTTTTCTTAGGACTTGGTAAGAAATCCATTTTTTAGATGTGGTCGTCCGATTCAGCCAGGACATCAACCTTGGTGCTGTTGGCTATTTGGTGTTCGATGAAGCTGACCGGATGCTGGACATGGGTTTCGAACCTCAAATCCGAGACATCATGAAGAAGGTGCCCAAAAATCGACAGACGCTGATGTTCAGCGCGACATGGCCTGAGGAGGTTCAACAACTGGCGTGGCTTGGTATTTTATCTGGGTAAATTATAACGACCTCACTGCGACCTCACTGGAAATCATGATTAGTAAGGGGAATCATCCCCAAATGGCCTTAATTCAGGTTAGTGAAATATCAAATTTACCCAGATTCTATGTTCTGTAGGATGGAGATGGGGAGCTAATTCTTATGATTCATTGCTACATGTTGCTACAGAATCTGGATCTGGATCGTTGATTTCATATGAAATGCTGAAGCTTTCGGGTATCCCATGCTGAAGAGTGCCAGCTTGCCTGCAATGAACGATTGCTGAGGCATGACTTCTTGAACATGCCCATCCATGTGCAAGTGGGCAATACATCCAGTTTATCCGCCAATGAAGACATTTCGCAGGAGGTTTGGATGCTGACCTCCGCAGATGATAAAGATGCTGCTTTGGTGGAAGCTCTTCAACTCTATGGTGGGCCGGGCCAGAGGATTCTGGTTTTCGTCGCCATGAAGAAGCAATGCGATGTCAGGGCCTCAGGTGAAACTCTGCAGAATTCGAACGAGAGACGATCCTGGAAAGCCGACCTTTGGAGTGAGCATAGTAAAGTTAACTAGTTTGAACGTGGCCTCACCCTACCAGGTTACCAGAGGTTACCAGAGGTAAGCCTATTCAGTTTTCAGACTTCTTGTGCTAGATGGGCCCGTGCCGACTGCCGACTCGTGCCGACTCGTGCCGGCTGACGTGCTCAGATGATCATGCGAATGCTTCGCAAGTACAGTATCGCTGCCAACACCATGCACAGTGACAAGGTGCACTGGGACCCCTGGGATGCCGATGCTAAGCTCATGGCGACTTGTGCCCCTTGAACGCCCCGAAACATTTAGAGCACTTAAAACACTGAGTGTTTAGAGCACAACCAGCGCACAACCAGAGCACCTAGAGCATGTCTGTGAATGCTTTGGCCAGTCCTCGGTCCGTCGTCATTTTGGAACATCCCACCATGTCGATGTCGTGTCGAGCATGTCGATGTCGTGCCAGGACCAGGCTCAGCGAGAGGAAGCTCTACAACAGTTCAAATCCGGTGAGACGTCTGGAGCCCGAGACGGGCCCCGAGATCTCCATTTCATCAGTTTCAGACTTTTCACCAGAAAATGTGAGAAAACAAACTCAGGAGCGTGCTGATTGCCACCGATGTGGCAGCACGTGGTCTGGACATCAAAGGACAACCACCCACAACGTTACAAGTGTTTGAGTGAATTGATATTGGACTGGGTCATACTGGGTCATACTGGGTCATACTGGGTCATACTGGGTCACAATTTTGTGCGCAGCATGAGACTTGATGAAACTTTGCAAGGAGTGACCATGGTGGTCAACTATGACAGTGCCAACAGCGCAGAAGATCATGTCCATCGGCGCCTCGGCTTGCAAAAAAAAAGGCAATGTGGAGATTGGTCATTTTTTTCATCCACAAAATGGATGGTTGAATCATGTTGAATCAGTCTAATCCATTGGTACCCCAATTTTTTTAAAATAATTTCGATCCATGCCTGGATCTCACACCTAGTGACCTAGTCTGCGCCGCGTCTTTGGTTTTCTGCGCACGGCATGTTCTCGATAGGTTTTTGAGCGTGAGAATTGAGAGTTTCAACCTCAGACATAGACTTTGGTCTCTTTTTTTGTAACCAATCCAACTTGAAATATCAATATTATCCCATTCTATTGCTATCCCATTAAAATTGGATGGGTATCTTTTTTGGTATCTTTTTTTAGTTGGAATATCAATATTACCAATATTATCAATTGTAACTCCAATTGCTATCCAATTAAAATATGGTCCCAACATATCCACCATTATCCAGCTGATTTTAAGTGGTTTCTTAGCCATATCGGGCCATATCTCGCTGACCTACTTGGATTCAGGATCGGGAGAACTGGTCGCGCGGGTCAGAAAGGCTACAGCATGACGTTCCTCACGAAATCAGGTCACTGTCACGCAGAAAAAATCCGTGAAGATGGTGCAATCTTAACATGGAAAATGGATAAACATGGATGAACATGGGCTAAGGTCTACCCGATTTTTCGGACTCATTTAAGGATGATAGTCATAGTCATAGTACAATGCTGCGCAGTCATATGTTAGAATTCCAAGTTAAAAAAACCAAAGGCAGATGCGTAGTACCTGACGCAACATGATAGGCATTGATAGGCCATCATCGATGCTGGCGACCAAGCCACTCCAAGCCACTCTGACAGGTGAAGATGCTTGGAAAGCCATTGACATCGCGGAAGTCATGAAGAAAGCGGGTTCACCCGTACCTCCAGAGATGCAGCAGGCACAGCATGGCGCATGGCATCAGAAAAAATGGCATGGATGAACTTCAGAAATGGATCTTCATCAAGTTCATCCCATCACCATCCCATATTCATCCCATAATCATCCCATAACCATCCCATAACCATCCCATAACCATCCCATCCATATGAGCTATGGTCAATACTCATGGTTAATAACCATTAATAGGGGCTAGTCATCCAATGGTTCATAGGGATTTATAATAACCATTGGATCCTTATAGTGAGTATTGACCATGGCTCATATGCCACAAAAACCATCAAAAACCGATCCCATGGCCTTGCGAGGTGGTCCATCAAATGCTTTGGAGACGCCAGAAGTCGCAGCAAAACGACAATCGCTGGGACCATCTGCCAAAGGTGCCATATTTTCCACGGAGAGTTTGATGCCAATAAATTGATGACTTTTGATGGCTTGGATATCCCGAAATGGTGCTATAAGACCAGCCATTTCAGTGGAAGATCATAGGGCTTGGATATTTTTTTTGGCTTGCTACTCTTTGACATCAAAAAAGTTGCCATTGAAACTGACAACTCGTGGGTCGTGTTTTTTGCAATGTTTGTCTTGTCAAACTCTCTTCACGATAGCTCGGCTTGCCATAAAAACATCAGCTGCCATTCCAGGTGGCTTCCAGCCGGGTCAAATGGGTCAAATTTTCAATGCCATCCCATTTTGACCACATTTTTGGATCGATTTTGAGTCCGGGAAGGTGCTGATGGTAGCAGAAAAACCATCCGTCGCGAAGCTCATCGCAGAGTTTCTCTCCGGTGGTCGGATGCGATTCCGCAAAGGCCGCTTGGGATGACCTGGGTGGGTACCCTCTGGTTATGTGAAAATAGCTATTGAAAATGGCCATTTATAGTGAGTTTTCCCATAAAAAATGGTGATTTTCCATAGCTATGTTAGTTTACCAGAGGGTAATACCCATGGGGCTTCAACTTTTGGATGGCGATGTCTGTGATTTATTTGGATTGCGATGTTTTGCCCAGAAAAATCCGATGTTTCGGATTCATCCTGCTTTTTCTAGCAAACTTCTTGTTTTCGTGAAGGCTGGTACTGATTTCAAACTGAGTATCCAAAAAAGGGGGGTTCTCAAAATGGGGGGGTTCAATACCCAAAATGGTCGACGTGGATGATTTGGGGTAGCCATATGACTTAGGAAAGCTCCATATGATCCATGGATAGTGGATATCCATGGATATCTTTCGATGTTGCTGAAAGGTCAGAGCAGAGCTGTTCAGATCTACGAGTTTAATGCCTACTTTCCACCAGCTCATCAACAGTGCCGCATCATGCAGACCTCCACCATTGGGCACGTCTTCGGTACCATGGCTGCCAGGGTTCTTTTGGGTGAATGTTAGGCCAGATGACCAACAGCTTGAGGTTGGTTGAGGTTGGTTGAGGTTGGTTGAGGTTGGGTGAGGTTGGTTGAGGTTGGTTGAGGTTGGTTGAGGTTGGTTGAGGTTGGTTGAGGTTGGTTGAGGTTGGTTGAGGTTGGTTGAGGTTGGTTGAGGTTGGTTGAGGTTGGTTGAGGTTGGTTGAGGTTGCTTGAGGTTGCTTGAGGTTGCTTGAGGTTGCTTGAGGTTGCTTGAGGTTGGTTGAGGTTGCTTGAGGTTGGTTGAGGTTGGTTGAGGTTGGTTGAGGTTGCTTGAGGTTGCTTGAGGTTGGTTGAGGTTGGTTGAGGTTGGTTGAGGTTGCTTGAGGTTGCTTGAGGTTGGTTGAGGTTGGTTGAGGTTGCTTGAGGTTGCGGTTGAGGTTGCTTGAGGTTGCTTGAGGTTGGTTGAGGTTGGTTGAGGTTGCTTGAGGTTGCTTGAGGTTGGTTGAGGTTGGTTGAGGTTGCTTGAGGTTGCTTGAGGTTGGTTGAGGTTGCTTGAGGTTGGTTGAGGTTGCTTGAGGTTGCGGTTGAGGCTGCTTGAGGTTGCTTGAGGTTGGTTGAGGTTGAGGCATATCCACCAGCCTTAAGGATTGGATTTCAAAGACAACCGACCCAAAGACATCGCGGAATTGTTCCACGATCCCTGCAAGAAGACCATCGAGGATAGCACTGCAGGGAGCCACAGCGAGATTTCAGAATTTCAGCTCCAGGGGGAAGGTCGGAAATCCCATTTGTGATGCATCTTTTGATATTTTTGACAGGAATTCCCATGGGAATTGTCCATTTCTGAAAGAGAGTCGTCAGTCGTCAGGTGAATGTTGTGTGATCGTTGGAAATTTCACCAGCTCACTGAAATTGGCTTTACGATGGTCGTGACGATGGTCGTGACGATGGTCGTTATGATGGTTTTGGCAAGGGATAGCATGACCACTCCTTCTTTTAGCAGCCTTAGCCCTAGGCCAAGAATCGGATTGTTGAGCACTTCCAGGACGACGCCGTGTGCCGTGTCATTGGTGTCATTGCCAATGTTCCAACCATGCTCCAACCAATGCTCCAACCAGTTATAACCAGAGTGGAACATCAGGAGTTGGCCGCAGAAGCCGATTATTTGGCCCTGTGGTTGGATTGCGATAAAGAGGCTGCAGCTGATGCAGCTCTGATGGCTGATGGGTCCTGGTTGGTCACCAATCCCTAAGATCCAGAAAATTTTCACGGCCAGCACGTACCGTTGCAGGGCGAGAACATCTGCTTTGAGGTGATTTCATTGTGTTTCTTGGCAGAAAAAAGAGCACTGATCTGAGCACTTTTTTGAGCAGCGTAGAGCAGCAGAGATGATTTTTACGTTTTTTTTCGCAGGCGAGAACATCCAGAGAGAGAACATCTACAGGTGCGGATTCCGTGAATTCTGTGAGCAGTTTGCTGTTGTACAACTGCACAGAAGGATCAGTTCACTCAGTGTTTGGTAGCTATGAGTGTTTGAGATCCACGCTGGAAAAACACGCATCGGTAATGATCGGTATGTCTTTGTTTTTACAATCGCAATGATCATAGTGCCATATTTTTTTGCCATTGAATCATCTCCAATCAGGTGAATCAGATAGTCATAGTCATAGACAGTCATAGTCATTTTCATATATTTTCATAGATAATCATACTGAGTCATACAGTGCTTCATCCATGCAGCAATTAAATCAATGGCACACGCGCATCAATGGCACCACATGGCAGGGCTCAATTTTCCGCTCTCACTGAACCGGAGCTGAAGGGAGCCTTCAACAACCTGGGGCGCCCTGATAAGCTCCAAGCCCAATCAGTGGATGCACGACAGGACAAAATCGGGCTGGCGCCACGGTTTCACAACATCCTGCATGATGAAACATCAATTGATTCATCAATATTTTAATCACGATTCCATTGTTAAAAAACCACTGTTTCCTGCAAGAAACTATGATGAACTGGCGTTTTTGCTCACCAAGTTTCAGAGAACACTTCACCAGTGATCCAACAATCACTCTTGTTATGACTTGAGGAGCTGGACCTGAAGATCGGATGCATCTTCACTCGCTTGATGACGCGACAGTACTTACGCTACGCCGTGGACAAGTTCCGGCTGCGGGATCAGACCTGCCTATCCTATGGACCCTGTCAGACACCGACCCTCTGGTTTTGCGTGGAACGACACAAGGAGATCCAAAACTTCCAGAGGCCTGGTGCCTCCTGGGATGAAGATGAAATAATATGAAGATGTGAAGATGCCAAACATCAAAGCCTTAAGGACACATAAACCATACGTAAACCATACAATATCAACCATACAATATCAACCAACAGAGAATGGTCGTCTTGTTGGATACATCAACATCTACAAATCAGTAAATCTCGTTGTTTTGATACTCCAAGTCTAATTTTTTGACGTTTGATCAATGGGAATTTCAGGATCCTAAAATGGAGGTACTGTACCATATGGTTGGCGATATGTTGGGGGTATATCTCCTTACATAGGCCTAAAAAATAGGCCAAAAATATATGGAATCGGTACCTCCAATCAATCGGTTCCTGAGTCATGGCCATCGATGACTTCCACGAATTTTCGGCCAAAGTTCGCAGGCAGGAGTTCTTCAAACCAAAGGCCTCCATTACTTTGGAGGGTTGGCCACTGGAGTTCGATTGGTTGGAGGACCACACCTTCGATGCAGGTGGGGCTGTCGCCATGTCGCTATATCGCCATGTGAGTTGGACTCAGGCGAAAAATCATGGGAATTGATGGGAATCCCATGGAAAATGGGCCGTTTATTCTCTGTTTAAGACAAACATGATGGAACATCTCTCATCCCAGGATCCATGTAAGGGACTTTAGACTTTATAAGAACTTATGAAAATAACATGTTATAACTTACTATAGCTGTAACTATAACCCCATCATTTTTTGTGTCAACCCACCAGCCATGACCAGCCGTAGCTGAAAAACCTCTGGAAATAACAGGTCGAATTCAGACCCTACAAGCACGTGCTGGTGCGGCGAAACAAGCCACGGTGAAAGAATTGAGGACGAAAAAAACCCTTGGTGGATCTGCCTCCACCAGAAAAATGGCAGGAAAATGATGAAAAATGGCGAATTTCATAGAATTTCCTCGGGAAAATATGAGAACATGATGAACCAGTGATTTTGTTGGTCAATGGTACCTTATTGACAAGTTGCCTGCTGTAGTTGTGTCCATTCGAAAAGCCAATGAGGCTTTGGTTGCTCCATTGAAAAAGATTTGATAAAGATGGGGATTGAACAACAATTTCAACAGGGATGTTCCAAGTTGGTTGGTGGATTTGGATGATTTTCCCATTCAGTTGGGAATGTCATCATCCCAACTGATGAACTCACTCCAATATTTTTCAGAGGGGTAGCGAAAAACCACAAAACCAGTAACAATAAGATCATGTTCCAGTGGAACAGATGGTTTTCACAAGGAGATTTCCAGTTGCAATCGTTCGTTGTCGACAGGACAACGCCCAAGACTTTGAGAAAGCCCGTTGGTCCTGAGCCCCAGCGTGAAGACTTTCCGCAAGAAAATTTCCGAGACAAAGTCATCGGAGGGACCTCAAAATTAGGGAATTTACATGGATTTACATAGATTTACCTTCAATCTAAGGCCCAACAATTAAGGCCCTTTGAAGAAATGATGCACGAAACAACCATCGATTTTTTTCCCCAAAAAAATTGGGACGACGCCATGGCGAGGTTTGAACACTGTGCAGTTGCTGAAAGCTGCAAGCACCGGATTGGGCTGCTCGGCGCCGTTGGTTGGTGAAACCCACGGGTGAAACCCAGCTGGCTTTCCATTCGCGTTCCTTCAACGGTGGGTTTTTCCTGGTGATGGGATGCCAGATGCCAGGTATGTCGCCCGTGCAGTGCATGAAAGTGGCTGAGCACTTGTACACATCTGGCTACATCTCGTACACTGCTCAAATGACTGAGACAGCTCACGCTGAATCCAGTGGTTTCGAGAATTGATGTCAATTGCAACTGCTTTGGTACAGCATCATTCTGAGGTACCCAAGAACAGAGACTACCAGGTATCTTGGCATTTCTGTGGATTTTTTACGATGAATTTGCTGCTTCCACACTCTAGTTTGTGAAAGATGACACTTTTTAAAACCTGTCTTGATCCTTTTGGTAAGTTTTCAGTCGCAAGTGCAGACTGTTATCAATGGGTAACTCACAATTTTCAATGGGAAAATCCACAATTTTCAATGGGAACATCCCAATTTTCAATGGCAAAATCCATCAGAAATTTGGATATGTTCAGTCGCCAAACCGATCCAAACCGATCCTTCGGATCCTTTCCAAACCGATCCGAGGTATTCCGATACTTTCGATCTCCACTCTGCTTTGCGCGAGCAGGCGGACCACCCCGTCGGGATCCCAGGAGCGAAAGAAAGCGTTGCGGTTGCCGTTGCGGTTTTTCCGGGTAACACCGAGGCCTGGGGGAAGACGGTGAGTCATCTCTTGAGACAAGGGCAGATTCGAAATCCAAAGACGGGCCGTGATGTGGGTGAAGGCCTAAGGATGGAGCTGTTGGATGAAGCTGTTGCGAAGCTGTTGGATGAAGCTGTTGCTGGGTGAAGATGGTGAAGTAGCAAATTTCCAAACAGAGAAAAACTTCCTCAAACATCACTGCAAAATGATGCCAGTTAGATGATATGCTTTGTCTGGAAACTTCTAAGAGGGACATGGATTATAATCCATTGGAATTGGGGCGGCACGCCCTATTTCAAATATTTCAAGACAATCCCATATCTTGCAATGATGAGAATTGTGATTCTATCATCATCATAACAATAATAATGATAATAATAATGATAATAATAATCATCATCATCAGCAGCATCAGTATCAGTACTATATCAGTACTATTAATATTATTATGATTCTGAGTATTACTGCGATTTAATACTATTACTAGTTACTATAACTATCGTTATTATCATTAACAACAATGAACAATGAAGTCTTTTATAATTATCATCAAATATTAGCACAATTATTATCATTATCATTATCATTATTGTTAATACCCATAGGATCCATGGTGCTGGTATATATGCTAACATAAAGGGGGTATATTGATGGGGTCCATGTTACCATATATATCCATATATAGCAGCACCATGGATCCGTCATGGGATATGTTATTCTTATGATGATAAAATGATCATCAACAAGCGACCTTTTTTTGGAGAGTCTGAGGCGATCACCCTCCGATCACTCCAATGAAGGCGGCTCCAAGAGACGAATTCAGCAAGGGCAGCTTGGCCGGTTAAGAACGGGATTCCCCGTTCTTGGATTATTATAATCCCCAATAGATAAAGGCTAGTATAATCATGTATAATCCCGGAACTAATCATCAACCAACAGGGGTTTTGAATGGACTAGAGCTGTGATGTATATTGAAGAATGGCTTTGGGTGAAGCATGGTGAAGCACAGCGGTGCCAGGGCATGCAGGGCATGCGGGGCAGCCGGCATAGCTTGGCTGCGGCCTTTCAGTTTCTAGGCTCGGAATGGCGCTTGTACGATTACATCACTCGCCACTTCATCTCCTCCTTGATGCCGGATGTGGAGTACGATGAGAAGGACTTGCGAAACGCTGGATCTGTGGGATCATTTGAGTTTGTGAAAAAAAACATCCGTTGAAACATCACGTCGCCGTTGAAAGTTGATCGTGGGCAAAGATGAACCGGACACGGAAACCATGGAGAAACTGCCAGATCTTCAGATGACATCAGTTGACGGATTTTCAGGCCCTCATCGTGAACGTGGCCGGGGAGGACTTTTGTTATACCTTCCATGAGATGCGAGAGAGGCCAGTGAAAATCAACAGTAATCTCCAAGAAGATAGAGGTAACAATCCTACCAAAATACTAATCATTCATATTCATTTATATCATTCATATGTTGTTCTATCTGTTTGGCAGTTACTATGTACTGGATGGTGCAACTCACCTCCCAAAGCACGTGGAAAAGTTGGGATCACCTTCAGCCTTTCAACATCAAACATATTTAATCAACCTGCTTAAACACCAATAAAGTCCCATATTAATCCCATATCGATATCATATTATTATAAGATTACGAATTATTATTATTTTTATACTTATAATATACATGTATATATATATATACACATTATATATATATATATCATATATATCATATATCATACATCCCCAATGACATCTGAATCCCATGATCGAAAGCCGCTCGCGCGAAATCGCCAGGGGCTTCCTCTTCGCTATGCCTTGGAAATCTAAAGACCTCCACCTCAACGAGATCGATTGGGCCATGCCACGGCTTGCCCCTGGCAGTCGCTTAACGGTCCAGGAGGTCTGGGTCGAAAGCGATTTTACAAAGCCACCGGATTATCTGCCGCTGGGAAAAATGCTGATGGGCTGATGGGGATGAAGGGAAAATGAATGTTTTTGGACCTGCGGAGAGTTTTTTTGATGTTTGTTGGTGGAAGAATGCGGGGATGTTTTTTTTTACATGTTTGGAGATTGACATCATTGGAAACTGGGAAAAACGAGCAACAGTGGAGTGGGAATACTGATAGAACGATATAACTATTTATATCACTGAAATAACTATAACTTCTATAACCAACAACTGGTGATTTTGGGAAGGGGCTCGAAGGTGGTTTTTGCGCCGGAGCCTAGGAAAGAAAGTGAGCTGGTGGCATTGATGGACAAACATGGCATTGGCACTGATGCATCTATTCCACAACACGTGGCGCCTTGGTGATGTTTTTTGGTGAAACTGCTGATGTTTGTTGGTGTTTTTTGAGATCCCAGCCATGGATTTCAAAGGGTACCCTCCGGTAAACTGTCACAAAAACGATGGAAAATCCACCATGCTATCAATGGGTAAATCCACCATTTCTATGGCCATTTTCAATAGCTATTTTGACATAACCAGAGGGTAGAAGTTTTCGATCCCAGCCATTTTCAGTGCATCTGTGTGCAGAGAATCTCTGTGCAGAGTGGCTTTGTCTGAAAATATGCTATACCATGGTATACTCCAAATCCATCGGCTGATCGTCATTTTCTCTATGACCATTTGGGGGCATCCACCATTTTCAGACAAACTCATGTTGTTGGTTCCTTTTCCACCTGGCACCATACTTACTATCCATACTATCCATTCACCACGTTTACACACATCGTTTACACAAATCGTTTACACATAGTTTACACAAATCGTTTGCACAAATCGTTTTCTCGGGTCTTTTTCAAGGTGAGAGTTTTCTCTCAGGAAAACATTTGCAACCGGAACTACGTCATGGTTTGTGGACCAGGGGAAGACGGACAAAGAGGGGAGCGTATCCCCAAGGGAGGAAAGAAAGGCAAAGGAAAGGCGTGCCGCCCGTGCCGCCTTCCATCACACCATCGCGGCTTTGGATCAGATGTTGAGGTATATATTAGATATAGATGATATAGCTATATAGCTATATAGTGATATAGTAATGTAGTTATACAGTTTTTATTTTTGGATCTATTTTCATTATTTTTTAAAAAAATGCAGCCAGCTGTCCAGATAGTCACCAGATAGTGACCTCATCCTCATGTTTGATATATAGTGTATACGCCATTTATGCCATGTATGGCCGAATTTAATCCTATGTTTTGTCATAGTCTTGGTGCATCTCAGCTTGATGCAACTCTCGTTTCATTGGATGAACCACCCATTGAATCCCCATGTTCAATCTATCCCGGTGATAAAATTGGTGAACACATCAGAGATGTTCAGCATTTCAATGAGCTTTTCCGAAGAATCTGCTGAATTGAAAACGCATACTCAATCCCAAAACATATTGCTGACAATATTACCTAATTACAAACGAAAACATTTCCAATTGAAAACTCTAACCCCCCAAAAAATACCCCGACGGCTTACTTTTTGCGCGGGGGTTTTAGTACCTCCGGCGAGGATGGCTTTGTTCAAAGGGGGACTAATCACTAATCCGACCGACTGACATTTCAATTGCCGAGATGTGGTTTTTTCCAAACTGCCAGCTAACCGTTGACAACCGGTTGTCTCCACGGGAGTCCCACATCCGATATGGCTATGGATCAATACCTATACATACCATTTTCAGGGGGATGAACATCCATTTACCAGCTATTTTGATGTTCACCAGGGGGATAGGGTTTTGATCCATCCCCATATCACCACAATGGTTTCTTGGTACCACCGGTTTCCAGCTCCGTGATGCTCTGTGATCGCAGCGTGGCAGGGCAAAAACAAAGATGGCAAGACGCAGGGTGAAAAGCCTCAGTCTCGTCACATGGTTTCTTGGCCTCAAAGTCGAAAATTCCCATTTTGGAAATTACTGCAGAGTCTTGAGATATGGAATCGAAAAAAGACATGTTTGTTGACATTTATGTGATTTGTCTAGATGTTTCAAAATGATTTTGTCTTCAAAAACATGTTGCATTTAGTGATTTGGATGGATTTTGGATGGATTTTCTGGAGTTTTCACAGCTCTTCACAGCTGATTTCAACAGGTTCCAACCCCTTTGGGCCTCAGTTTCTGCGCCGCTTTCGAAGAGTTGGATGCGGAGCTGTGCCGGCCACCCATCCGAGCCTACATGGTTCCTGGGTGGCCATGGGGATATTAGGGACCTATGGGATGATGATGGTGGATGATTTTTGAGGTTTGGATGGGAGGAAAATGTCGTTTGTTTTTGGAATCACTAGTTGGATTGTCATGATGATCATGAATTTTATGACTAGTTTATGAGTAGTTTCTACTTTTTGACCATCACCCTTGGAGATTTTGCAGATGGGGAGTAGGATGTGAGTTGATGTGGTGTAGATTGAACGCCAGTCTTTCTGCTGTAAAGAATCTGGCTGGGTGACACATGGATTTGACCATTTTTTTGATCATTTGGAGGGTTCCGAAACGATGCTGTACGGATTTCAGTCGATGATTTTTGCAGCATTTAACCATGAATTTCATAGCACTAAAACACAGCAGCAAGATCTTGGCCACTGATCTTGGGGCAAATTTCAGGAGAAGCAATGCGCCCAAGTGGCGGAGGGCATCCTGGAGAAAGAAGATGTGGTGAATGAAAACATCAAGCTCTTTGAGACCAAGTTTCATAGCTTCAGGCCAGCTCCCAGGGTCCCAGCTTGCTCCCAAAGTTCCCAGCAAAGCTGCTGCAATTCCGAGATTCCAAGCAGTGCTGAATGACCCATTTCTCAAAAAATCAGGCAAGTTCTCATCATTTTGACCCAGTCAGACTGGTCATTTCTAGACATTGATCCCGACTTCCACTTATTCCACCTTATTCCGACGACAGGAACCGCATCGCCCAGCTCGACAAGTTTTTCGTCTCCAAGGACCAGTTGGCCAATACCATGGGATACCGTGGAGCTGGAGCTGATTGGGGTGGAGGTGGTGGTGGATGGAACAGTGGCTGGGATGGATACGGAAAGGGAAACAGCGGCTACGGCAATGGAAGTGGAAAGGGTGGCTATGGCAGCGGAAACCGAACGTGGAAAAATGGCAAGGGAAATTAGCGAAATTCATCGAACTTCCCCCCAAAAAAAAGGGGAATGAGTCGAGCCTGGAAATTCTGTGTGCACATTGGAGTCAAAAACCGGCTCCAGCAAACCAGATCTGTGCAGTCTTCATTGGCTCATGATTAAAGAAGATTTCCCAAATCACCTGAATTATATTGGCTGATAATGATTAAAGAAGATTATCCAAATGCTTCGACAAAGATTTTCTAGTCCAATGAATCACCAGATGCAGAGTTGCAGATCTGGAAATTGTCTCAGTTGCCGACCAAAATGAGCAGAAAAAAAGGGGGCAGCTGGCAGACTCATCCAGGTTCAAGCCAGGTTTTAGTTTTTGTTCATCTATATATATATACATATACATATATACATATATACATATATACATATATACATAATATATATATATATAGATAGATAGATAGATAGATAGATATATACATACATATATACATATATACATAATATATATATACATACATAATATATATATATATACATATACATATATATATATATATATTATTGTGCAAAACAGTTTCTGTTGGGCATTCAGGTTGTGTTTCGTCCAGGACATTGCTTTCAGGCTTGACTTGAGTGGATCGCAGCAAGGATGTTCAAGACCATTCAACAAGAGCGGAGAGGGTGAGGGTTTGTCATGTCTTTTCCAATCTGAAAGTAACATGAATCCACCTTGAATCCAACTTGATACCATTGATATGTCGTCAGATACTCCATTTTTTCGTGTGACTGCCAACTACAAGCAGCTAGGTCAGCGAGGTTCTCTTGTGGACCTCAACATTCTGTGAGAAAACCAATGTTTTTCAGCTTTCAGGAACATTTCGCCCCGAAGCTTTCAGGCAAGGAATTTCTCATGTCGCTATGGGGATGGGCCGGCAGCCTAGTGGCCAGAGGTCAATGTTGCTTGTTGATTTGGTGACATAAACCCTGCATTTGGTACCTGAGGAGCTCTTTTTAGCTATCCCTAGGTATCCGTAGGTGTCCCTGGAATTCTTTCAATTTCCAATGTATTCCCATGGTCATGGAACGTATGGAACCATCCCGACCATCCCCATGATTGTTAAACATATCATGGATATCTCAGCCAGTCACCAGCTTCGAACCGTTAAGGTGAAGGATGTGGGTCGATCCTGCGGCTTTACGCCGCAATCACAAACCACTCCCATGTGGGTCTCACACTCAGTCACTGTGAGGGAATGACAGGAAGCAGTAAAGGTTCCATATTTTAACCATGGTTCGGGTGAGTCAATTGGGATGGGGGAAAAAATAACAATAGATACATACATATTAAATAATACATCTATATCTATATCTATATCTATATCTATATCTATATCTATATATCTATCTATCTATATATATATATATCTATATCTATATCTATATATCTATATATATATATATATCCATATATATATATATTATATATATATATCTATCTATATAATTATATATATATATATGTATGTATGTCTTGGGATGAATTGGGCTGAACTGGACATGAATTCCAGGTCCGAGCCCAGCCAGACTTGTTCCCCAATGAGGTGCGCTCCGAAAAAAGCTGCCGCGATTGGACAACCCGTTGAAAAAACGATGGAAAATCACAATTTTTAATGGGTAAATCACCATTTTTGATGGGTAAATCAACTATTTCGACTGGGCCATGTTCATAGGTATGTTAAACAGTTTGCTATTGAACATGCCCATAGAAATAGTTGATTTACCCATGAAACATGGTGATTTTCCATCGTTTTTTGGATGTTTACCAGAGGGTATGTTTACCCAAATTCCCACATAGCTGGTTTATGACATTGGTAAAAAAAACCACATTACAGTAATATGATGTAAGATTATCATGTAATATCTATGCTATTACTGTATATTGTGATAGAAATCTTTTGGGGTTAAAACCATATTTGTACATATTTGATCCCAAGTATAGCCCCGATTCTGGCAGTTGACATGTGTAAATTTTTCTCCCCATCAAAACTTTCGATCTTTATCCTCAAGCTTGAGCCAAGCAGATCGCTGGATCGCTGATTCTTCGTAGCGAATCCGTTCCTCTGGGAAAAAGCCTCCATGTTCATCTGGTTGGTGGTTTGGGAATAATAATAATATGGAGGAATATTTTTTTAATTTTTTATTCTCAGTATTCCCAATATATGGTTTGTTCATCTGGTTCGTCAGTTAGGATTATTATTATTATTATTCCATTTGGATTATTTTTCCATATATTGGGAATAATAATCCTAACTGACGAACTCCATCATTTTTCAGAGGGGTAGGGCTCAACCACCAACCAGTCATCCATGTTTTGTTGCTGAAAGCCCCATTTTTTTTGGGGGGGGGTTCAATCATGTTCATCTCATGGGTCTGCCTGGATGGTTTTGCAGGTCCCTGGCATGAGTGAAGAATTGCTACAAAAAGTGGGCTCGCTGTGACCTCAGAACTTTTTCATAGACACCTGAACATGGCAGATAATCAGAATGCACCACATATATCATCTGTGTATCATCATGTACCTGTGATATATCTAAAATATCATTATATATATTATCATATATCCATGATACATATGTATATGATTATATACATGTGTATACATATATATATATATATCATTGCATGGTTGAATGGATACATCCCCATATAATCTGCCAAACATGCTAACTACATGGGGATTTCTAGCAGATCTATTTTTTTCAGACCAAGAGGCGCACGCTAGGGGGTTGTTGGAAACCGACGAGTTTGCCACGAGATGACCCTGACAGATGTAACTGGCAAAACCATTTGTTTTCACCATTTTTTTTACATTTGGGGATCACTGCTAGGGTAACATACCCTATTGAAAATGGCCATAGAAATAGTTGATTCACCATTTTTTAAAAAACTTTGCTTTGGCATTTCTGCTAGGTCTTGTCCAACTTATTGCAGGAAGGATACTGAAGTACAGAAACATACAGGAACACAGGAAAAAGAGGGGAACCAGGTGGGCGCAAATTGTCAACGACTTCGGAGGTTTGTCTCAAAATGGACATACCACATTCTATGGCCAATGTTTATATGCGATTTCCCTAAAAGAACATCAACATTGGGGAGGTATATATTGCTATACCCTATTTTGAGACAAACATAGTGCTCAAATTCTTTGTTTACCAACATATCTAACCATGTAATGAGCCACATGATGAACCAGCTATGGCCATCTGAGGTTTGGTGGATCTTTAGAGGAAAAGATCGAAGAAGTCGTGGACGTCTTCCGCAGCAGTGCTCGTCATCTCGAGAGTCTGCAGCAAGTGCTGAGGAGCATGTATTTTCCAAAGACCCATGGATTTTTGGCGATGTTCCAGGATTTTTAAGGTTTCCCATCCAAAAAATGATGGATTTTTATGGTTTTCCTGTTTATTGATTCAATCCAACTTGCCAAAAACATGGTCCAAATGGGATGGGTTTGAAGCACTTTTTACGTGATTTCCCATTGTTTTGGAACACCATCCACGGTTGCACGACACCCAACGGGGCACCAAAATGCGTCCTTTCGCGTCCGAACTCGGGAACTCCTCGGCTCAGCTGTCAGCCACGATCGACGACTTGCGCCACGACTTGCCCGATGGAACAGTTGACTGGAAGCTGGATCCCCTCAACTTTTCTGTCAATCTCACCACCTCCAGTTATTCATGTCATCGAACAGGGCAGGCTGGTTTGGGACCATGGAACTTCCGGAAAAGTCTGGAGCTTGAGAGCGGATCCTGTGCAAAAGTATGGGCCAAATCACTTTTCAATTGGTGAACGAAAGCGCAAAGGCACTCGGCCAAGTACTTTGAAGAAGTGTATCCTTAGATCCAGTTGCAGCTTACAATGGACTAGCCCTCCAGTTGCAGAACGCTGGACACGTTTCGCTCCAGTTCTTAGTAGCTTTGAGAAAGTCCAATTGGTAAACGCTGATGAATCAGATTTAGCACTAGTGGATATGAAACTGGACAAAATTGTGAATCTGCAGCAACTTCGTTCGTTGGCAAGATGGCTTCGCTTTCCAGGTTGTTGTCATTGTTCCACTGATGATGTTTCCTTGACTGAAGTGTCTTCTGGCAAAGTCTTACAAGATGAATTCGATTTGTCCAGCTCTGAGCATCCCGAGCATTTGCCTGTTATAAGAGTCTCCAGCTACATTGCAGACATGATCTCCCGAAATTCCTTAGAGTTGATCTTCACTGATGGAAAGCACAGTGACATCGACTTGTGCCATGTGAAATCCATCCCCGACATTTTTTCCGCGCTGGCCCAACAGACCCAACGACCGGAAAGCTTCATCTCCCTCGAAATCCGTCGTGATGGGAAGCTGCTGAAGCTGGAGAGATTTCATCACCTCCAAAGCGACAGTGCAGTGATTCAGGTGCATTTGACCGAAACCGTGGCGGAGTGGTGGCTTTCCAAGCGATTGATCATTGTGGATGTTGTGGGCCACCTGGCTACCCTGGCTACCCTGGCTACCCTGGCTACCCTGGCTAACTTGGGTAACGGTGACGACAACGGTGAGAACACGGACAGCCTACGATGCCTAAGAAGTCTCGACCTGTCGGAAGCTCGAAGCTTGTCCGATGCCTATGAAGCCATTGGCAGACACACATCTCGTCCGGCTCGTTTCGTGCGCTTTTTGGAAGGAAGGGAATTGAAGGAATTGAAAGTTTGGTCTCCAAATCAATTCCCAGAACTCACTTTGACCCTACAGTTGGCTCCATGCATTCATGAACTCTTGCAGAGTGGTTTACAGCTGAAGTACCTCAGTGGTGATGCCTTCGAATTCATCGAAACCTCTTCCGAGAATATCTCCCTGGTTGGTATCCAAGACCTAAGGGAAGCGATCGCTACGAGGTTGAAGATCCGGGCAACGGGTGTGTCATTGATCACGAGCAGTGGGAAGAACTTGTGGGATTCCAATCCCTTTGACCTCTGTGATATCACTGAGACATCTGAGACCATCACACTTTGTGTTCGCAATCCCGAACTCTGCTTGCAGGGACATCATGACATTCACACCTTTTGCAACGGTGGTTACTTCGATCAGGTGTGTATCCACTGCGGCGATGAATTCTTCATGG